ACTCACTTGCTGTACTTTGATGATAAAAAGATGCTGCAGAGTGAGGATAGTTGGCTACTGATGTTGGATATTGTACTGAATTTTGCGAATATTGATGAATTAGCAAACCCCATCTCGATCCACCCTACAATCGTACTCTCACCTTTGAAAGAAAGGATACAATCGCAGCGAACCTCGTGACGTGGTTGTAAAGACTATAGAAATCATGGAGTCAAGGTGAATTTGAAGGTTGTTACACGTGTGTGGCATGCAAATCCTTAGAAGTGTGATCAAAGAAAACTAGTGCGAAACCAACTTAACGCTACAGAACACAATGGACTCGTCGTTGCTTTATATACTAGAGCATTGGGTTCTGACCCTTATCCTGCTGGGGATGGGAAAACTGGTTGGGAGATGATCAGCAGGAAAAGTTAGGCTAGCGCAATGAAGAAATAGCAATCGTTGTAGTACTCGGTTAAAAAATCGAATAACGTCAAATTGCCTCAACATTGACTAACTATAGCGGAGATTGCTGCTAATGCTTGCGGGCTTCAGTAATTTACAGAAAGAAGCGCCATAGACGATCAAGTCATAATGGCTCAAGCTCAGCCTGACTGGCATGTGGGGTAAGTCGACTAGCTACAGTCCAATCTAATTCGCATCCGTCTATTGCCTTCAGCCACTCTTTGGCACTGGTGGTCTTCCAGTAGGTTCTTCGCAGTGAAAACATGCAATTTTCTCAGCCCGAATTTTGTTTGGAACGGCGTTCTTCTGGGAACTCTTTATGCTCTTGTAGATTCCTTGCGCAGGGTATGCCATTAATCCAAACATTGCTACGTTTCGACTTAGCCTCATCTTCAATGAAAATAGATCTGAACCTTACTCACCACTTCCAGGTTTTGCTACCAGATTCAGCGAACCTTTGCCTACACCTTTCATGAATCCAAGGGCACCTTCCTTCTTTGCACCTTCTCGCGGCTTTGTAACAATGTCTGTAAGTCCTTCGTAGAAACCGGTTCCAAAATTCTGAAAATGGGTTAGTAACACCATATTGCCGATCCCGATTAATACTGACCTTCGCAGCAACGACCCCTCCACTCTTCCAGTCCTTTACTTTACCGTGGTCTTTAACTTCATCGCCATAAAGCTTCGGAGCTTGCCTGAGCCCTTCTGCAAGTGCCAGAGGCATGCTAACCAAGGCGCCTTTGCTTATGCTAGTCGCCATCGCTGCAACGCCTTGACCCACAGCACCAGCTGCTGCTAAGCTAGATGACGCGCCATCACTACCCGCAAGTCGAGCTTGCCTAACTTTCTTGAAAGGATTGACAAAGGTACCTCCGAGTGCAGACGTGAAATCAGTCACGATGCCAAGGGTAGCTGATGCCCCTGCGGTCAATGGGTCCCATCTTTCCACGTCCATGTTGTACTCCTTTGGCCGATACCTTACTGATATGAGCATTGTAGATTTCTCCATAGAGGGGTGAGGGGGCTTACGGGATTGCATTTGTAAGCTTCACTTGTCCACTAGTGGTTAAATTTCTCAGGGCGGCATGTGATAGTTTCATATCCATTCCTGATCCTGGTGAGCGGCAAACCCAGTCTGCGGCATCTTGAGGTGATGTGTCACAGTTCATGTTCGAGGAGTTGACATGACGATGGAATGACTGCACAGCGACATCAACTCCATTCTCGCGGCGCATCTGATCTGCAACAGCTCGAGCAGCCTGCTGAGCTTCGGATGATAAGCAATATTCGATTGCTTCCGCCAAGTTCTGGCTGCTCATGGACTTGTGTGGTATTGGGGCTGGTCCAGCGCCATTGCTGGCAACGACGTTACCCCAGAAAGGTTGACTGTTACTCGAATTAGCCAACGGGAAATATCTGGCTAGCACAGAGGTCAGTGCTTACTCGCCGAAAAAGGGTACTATGACCGTCGGCCGAGCGTTGTATAGGCCGCAGGCTGTCGTGCCTGCTCCGCCATGATGTACGACAGCAGAGACCTGCTTGAAAAGCCACTCTTAAAGACATTAGTGATATTTGCACTCAGATGATCCGATGGCGCTTACCATGAGGGCAATCTCCCAAGTAGAAGACATTTTCTGTATTCGGATCATTTCCTCCTAATTTGCTCCATCCCCTCGAGATGATTACCCGTACATTGGCTTTCTTGCAAGCTTCAAGGATGATTTCGGTCATTCTCTTTGCGTTCTCCAGGACTATGCTACCGAATCCAACGTACACAGGGACATCGCCCGCATGCAGAAACCTCGAAAGCTCTTCAGGTGGTGTGTATACAGGTTCTTCCCGCATGAAAAACCCACAGATATCTCACAACTATTAGAATAATGCATAGTGTTTTAGGGTATTGTTGCCTTACCGATATTTGGACCCCAGTCTTGAGGTTTTGGAACTAGTGCTGGCGACCAGCAATATGTGACAGGTAATTTCAACCAGTCAACAAGATCCGGACCCATGGTCGGATGGACAGGGTCTAATCCAAGGTCCTTGGTTCGCCAAAGGTTGATAACATCACCCAGCCTAGATAGCAGTTTTAGTTTACCATGCTTCCTTCATGTATCCTTACGATGACGTGATACCTATAAAGAATTGAATAGGAGATATAGCACTCACCCCTGCCAGGTCATCATATTGACGACGCCGTAACTAAGATAATTGGCTTGCGACTGCTGTATATCCCTCGCTTTCACGTTGGTGAGCGGGTGTGGAAATGCACGCGTCGCCGTCCAAGGCATGGTGAACATCATATGGACAGGGACTCCTAAAGCCTGTGCACAATGTACATGTGCGAAAGATGGTGGATTCGCAATGATTGCGTTTGCAACGAAAGGCTCATTTGATACGGGATCTGGGAGGAGGCAAGAGTTCCAGCAACCTTGCAACATCTCATGAATCATGCGCCGCTTTCGTGGAATATCGCCTCCTTTCAAAGAATTGAGAGATGGGAGTAGGCCAGGATTGCGTACCATGTACTACTCGCAATGGTCAGGAAGCAACTCTACGCGTGGCAATACCCTTGGCACTTACCGACATCAACTCCTCCGGGTCGCCGCCAATAGGATAAAATTCCAAGCCCGACTTTCGCACGAAATCTGCGAAAACATCATGAGTTGCCAGCCGCACACGATGTCCGTATTGTTGAAGAGCGGTTCCTAGGGCGATGAATGGCTGCACATCTCCTCTGCTGCCCACCACGTGCACGACGACGTTCAATCGCGGACACCGCCTAGGGACCCTCACGTCTGACTCGAGTGCTGTTGGTGGGGGTGCAGGGAACGACTGTTCAAGTTCAAATGGGGCTGAGGAGGTAAGGTCAATATTGAGCGTTCCATCAGCTAAGGTGCAGAGTCAGTGTCAGGCACGAAGCAGAGGATAGAATTAGATACCTTGCACTGTACACGAGCTGTCAAGGAGAGCACTGGAGGAGTGTAGCTCATAAGGGGGAGGCGTGTCCCAAGCAAAGTCCACCTCATCTGGTGGGGGTTTAGAATGTTTGAAATCTACAGCATCCGATGGCATTGCTAACGTCAGCAAATTGACTCGTCGGGTCGGTGTGATGATGCTGACAGTCGTATCCGCTACGTTATGAAGTTTTGCAAGATTCTCTTCACTCAATGCTAAGAAGCCATGGCTTCTTATTCTTCAAAGCTTGGCAAGTGCAACGGGGTTTATAGTCCGTGCTAGCCTGCCACGCATGGTGAACTGTGGCTGGGTGCGCATGAGTGCTGCGCCATGCCAAATGAAGCCTAGCTCACCACACTTATCCTGCGTATCCCCTGCAGTCGTATTGCGTATCTCGTACTCAGCACACGCAGCACTGGGATCAACCACGCAGACGATCTGCAGCCATGAGCCAATAACACACTTTGTAACATCAACGGACCAGGCCCACGCACCATAAATGCATTAGCTAATTAACAGCATCGATCGGGCATTTCGGGGAATATTTGCGTGCTGCGCTCCACGTCGGTTTGCGAAAGGATGGATATAGGTGTGCACTTTGGTGTGCTGGGGCTCGGAATCCAGCAGCACCCAACTATAAGCTGTGTTCGACGTTGTGTTGCGCCCACCACGAGGGCAATGTTTTGTCTGGGCAACGCCATCATGCATGGCATTGCGGTTAGTTTCAGCGCCTTGATTAGCGACGACATGGCTCAACCGGCATAGTTACCAATGTTGCTTAGCAGGGCACTGCTGACCGGTCCATTGGGAGTAGAGTAGGTGTACTTAGCAGCTCGGCCCAGAAGCAAGGACCAGCTCGCCGGCAAAAGGCACAGCCACCGCTAGTAGTCGCCTTTGGTAGGGTACTTACATTTCAAACAGTGTAGCTGAGCGTAGCCTTCCAGAAAATCGGCACCCAGCCATCGCGCGCATTGGTTTCTTCACCGCTCTGCACTTGCAACCATAGTCGTCCTTATGGTTCAACGTGTCCTCCGGACTCACATCATCTCCGCGCAAGCTTTCAAAAGCACCATTCTTGCCACGTGATGATGCATTGCCTGTAAGTCTGCGTCTCGCCGCACGAGCCTCAGACTGGCTTCCCCAGACTCGTGGCAACGCATGACTACTATGAAAAGCTTCTCAGCGCAAAATTGCCTATTGTCTGATTCAGAGCCAAGGCCTGCGGCTTAGGGCGAAACTAGCATCTTGCCTTCAAGCTATGCGCACCCGCGAAACGTCATTGCGCTGCTGTGCCCGATACATACCCGCAACGGCCGATACGAAGACAGCGTATACGAATCAGTTGAGCAGAAACAGAAGCGTTGCCTTGAGTTAGGATACTGAAGTCTTCACTCCGCAACTTCACTAGGTCCAACTCGGAAATTGCCAGACCGCCGAGCAATACGACCTCACCCTTGAGTAGTACCGGTAGCGCAAACATATATATATCCCCTCAACCGCCACTCTTATGCACACTACAAGCCTCTTCTATCATCCATTCATTCCACCTCATTCATTCCTTCTAGTCGATCCTTGTAGAATACTGGGGGGGAAAAATCGCCATGAGGTACTCTCAGCCGATTCTACTGTCCTGTGTGGCAAGCACCGAGGCCGTATCAGCATCGACCATCCAACCAGGACAGCTTATCCGATATTCTAGCCTGCCATTTTCAGCGAACAACAGCAGTGTGCCGATACATGCGACAGATGGCAAGCTCACCATCAAAGGGTCCAAATCCACCCCCGGCGTCATAGTGCTTGATTATGGAGCCAATGTCGAGGGCTTTCCGACATTTCAGGTCCTTTCTGCTATGGGAGATACATCTGGTCTGGAGATCACGTACAGCGAATCCAGAGAAGTGCTAGATAACTACTACATGGTATGTTCCTCACTGCAAGTATCTGATGCCTATGCTGATTCCAATAACAGAGTGACGGACCTCTCGCCTTAGCGGCAGCTATGGACACCTACAGAGTCAACCAGTATAACATCAGTGGGCCATTGGCACACACAAACAGGCTCATCCAAGGAGCCTTTAGATACCAAAAGTTCAACCTCTCGACAGCAGGCGAACTGGTTCTGGACAACGTTGGAGTGAAGCCCTCAATTCCAACCACGCCGCTTGATCGGCTACCAGGGTACTTCGAGTCATCGGATGAGGTTCTTAACAGAATCTGGGCTGTGGGAGCGAGGACTGTTCAATTGAATGACATTCCTGCCAACTCCATACCTCCATTTTGGCAGGTCTCGCTCGAAGGAGCCTTGGTGGAAAGCCAAGCACCTCAAGTTCTCTCGGCGGGTGGCATAGCTGCTGCATTGACGCAATACCAGCTTTCGTTCGAAGTAAAACCAATCGCAAAAGGGTTTGCGTTCTCAGTGCTTGCTGATACGCTGAATTCGGGAATTTACATCTTCGGCAACATTGCCAATGGCTCGATTTCAGCACACTTCGGGTCAACGGAAGGCTCTCCTCAGATTGCATTTGCTACACTGCCGCAGAATATCACCACTGATGTCTGGCACAAAGTACAAGTAATGGTCAACATGACCGAAATCTCTGTCGCTATCCAAGAGGTCCCAGTTTTGCAGTTCTCGCAGACTTCATCTTTCTTTGGGTCATTTGGATTCGGTGCAGCGCTCGGCCACTCAGCTGTTTTCCGCAACTTGTCCGCAACAAGCTCGTCAGGGGAACCAATTTATTCAGCTTCCTTGACTGATGATGCTTTCATGTCTGATTTCCTTGTCGGTACAAACCCGCAGGATACCACGGTCGACGGTTCAAAACGCGATCGGATTGCGTATGCCGGTGATCTAGATATCGCGTTGGTGTCTTCACTCGCAAGCACAAACGGTATCAGCTATGTTCAAGGCACACTGGATCTTATTGGTTCTTACCAGCTGACTCCTGGATTTTTCGCGCCCAATGCAAAAATTCAACAGAAACCGCTCTCCACACCCATTGACGCCAGCCAAACTGGTCTGATTGGCTACTCATTCAACCTTCTCACCGCTGCTGCTGGATTTTACAAGCGCACTGGCAACGAGAATCTGCCAAAGGAATGGGCACCAAGAGCTATACGCATGTTGGATTGGGCAAACTCCCAAGTTCTTCCTGAGAATGGGTTACTGAACATCAGCAACGCTGCTTTCGGCGGCGACTGGAACTATTATGATGCGACGCAGAGTGGTGTTGTCTCCAAATTCAACATGATCTACGCATACGCTCTCCAAGAATGCATTACTCTGCTCGCCGACGGTGGCATCGACACAGAGCCATACCTCTCGCGACTGGAAGCCTTGCGGGTAGCCATTGACAAAAACCTTTGGTCGAATGACATCGACGCATACTACGTTTCCGACACCATCAGAAACGGTTTCGGACAAGACTCGAACGCCTTGGCCATCCTCGCCGGCGTGAATAAGAATAACCATACTTCATCGCGAATTCTGAAGAGCCTTGAACAGCTTTCCACACCTGTCGGTCCCTTTGCTTTCTCGCAAGCAGTCACTGCATCCGGTTTTGAAAAGTACATCAGTCCCTATGCATCCGCGTATCATCTGCGCGCAGCATTTCAGAGCAAAGACAGCCAGTCTGCTTTAAATCTTCTAAAAAGTCTTTGGGCACCAATGGCTGACCCCAAAGGCTCGCATTACACCGGGTGTTTCTGGGAGACGCTGAATGCCACTGGTCTGCCCGCACTTGGAAGAACGACTAGTCTGTGCCATGGGTGGGCTGCAGGTCCGACTGGAGAGCTTAGTGAGCACGTCTTAGGAGTGAGCGCCGTGAAACCGGGCTACAAGGAATGGAAGATTGCTCCAATGACACTTGGGCTGGATTGGGCGAGGGGAAGGTTGCCTGTTGCGGGTGGTGAGATTTCCGTGGCTTGGAATGCTACTGGTAACGTCATAAAGAGGCTAGAGGTAAAAAGTCCAAGCGGAAGTTTGGGTACAGTGATCGTCCCTCTATCAGACGGGAATGGGTCAACAAGAGGAACCTTTGATGTCAATGGTCAGAAAGTAGACGGAAACGGAACATTTCATGTCGTAGGAGGAGAGACCTTTATCTTGACATATTCTCCTTGAGGTATAGGTATAAATCTCTCTTGACATATTTCACAGGGGTTATTTCAAACATATTTATTTTAATATTCGTTCATTGCAGACAGCAAGACTGGAAAACTAGCTACCCACTCTGCCAGATTTTTACTCCTTTATAGTCATTTGTCCCATCCAAAAACACAGGTAGACTATAGTTACTATGTTAGATCAAAAAGTATCAAGTCTGTCCCTCTGACGCGCCCTTCAGATGTAACTAGTCAACTCCAAGAAACCTTCAACAACCGCTCTGAGATGAGTGCGCGCAAATGGAAATGCCAACCACAGGCACATTCTGCAATAGGGCATTGCACCAAAGTAGATATGTATGGAACTAAATGCTTTACGAAATGCAATACCATGCGAACTAAAACCGATGATTGACCTTGGCTGCATGTCAATTCTCCCGGCTTGCTTCTGAAGGATGGACATGACTCGCCGTGAAAGGGGATGGATAATACAAGTCGCAGCTACTCACCAATGACTGTGCGTGGAGATGCCGCAATGGCACTAACGCTACGTCTAGAGGCTTGGCGATCGAATGAACCACATAAAGGGCAGCCCGCCCCAGCAACTGCGTATCTCGTTTAATCTACGAGCGTATCTCGTTTACCCTATCCGCGTATCTCGTTTGCCTAATGAGCGCGTCTCACGTGCGCCACGCTACAGCGATTCACGACATTTCATGCAGAGCCCCAAGTCTCACATGGTCAAAACACGACGGGCGCACCGCAAATCGCGTGGAGGATGCAGGGAATGCAAGAGACGACGGATAAAGGTAAGAGAGCGTCAATCTCATCACGTGCAAGATGCGCAACAAAACTAACTTACTTGTCTCAGTGCAGTGAAGGAAAGCCTAGCTGCGCACATTGCACCCGGCACCACGTATCATGCGTATACGATATTCCCGGTACCCCGATCCAGCCTGCTTCATCCAAAAATTCTCCGGCCCAATCAGAAAATCTTGCCAGTCGATCGAGCTCCCCTGTGAGGCATACTTCCAAGCCCCCTTACATTGACTTGAGCCGCCCTCAGCACCTTTTCGACTTGAAAGATATGGAGCTCCTGCATCACTGGAACCTTGTTACTAGTGCAAGTATGGTAGACTCTCTGAGTGCGGCTGAAGTTTGGCGCATTCACTTCCCGAGGATTGCTTTCCAACATCCCTACGTCATGCACAGTCTTCTCAGTATCGCGGCTCTCCACGTTGCCTATCTCAACCCTTCGCGGAGACAATCATCAATAATACATGCAGGCTGTCATCATGCCAAGGCATTGGAAGGGTTTCATGAGGCAATAAACCATATTGGTGCGGACAATGGCGATGCTGTGTTTACAACCGCTACTCTATTGTTCTTTCATGCATTCATCACTTTGAGCCAACTTCGATATGATTTTGATCAGCAGATTGAGGGTTGTTCTAGAGTGTCGCGCATTCTCGGCGCGGAATGGATACCGCTACTTCGAGGTGTTGGCGCTGTTCTGCTTCCTGCGCTTGAACATGTTCGTAGGGGTCCACTGAGCCCAATGATGGGCCTTGGTAACTGGGAGGCAGTCAACCCGGATGATCATCCAACAGCCGACGACGAGAAACTGAGAGGCATCGGACAGCTCTGGAAAGATGACAAAAATGCTGAAGTATATGAGACTAGTCTACATCTTTTGCGTAAATTTTGGGCGTGGATGGTGCAACTACAAAACTCAGGGAGCAATGCCAGCGGAGAATGTGGCTACCACGGGATAGGGTCGGGACCTTTTATGTGGTTGTTCATTACCCCGGAGATGTTTTTTGACTTGCAACGACAGCGACAGCCAGCAGCACTGGTCTTATTTGCTCATTTCGGGGCCTTTCTGCAAAAGCTTAATGGATATTGGTGGGCAGAGGGCTGCGGAAAGACTATTGTAAGTGCCGTTGACGACTGCTTGGGCTCATATTGGGAGCCATGGACACGCTGGCCCAAGGAGGTTGTGGGTCTTATCTAACGTGATGAACCCAGTGCCTCGGCACTTCTCTGCAGCTACATAATGTGGCATAAATGCCTGACGAAGGATAAGAAACAAGACTAAGTATTACAAAATTCACAAATCATGCCAAACGGCAACGACGGCAACTGCGCAAGAAAATTAAAATGGGGCTGTGCTTGTCGGCAGCTTGGCAGACCATGGGGAAGGCCCCTTTGGGCGAAAGCCCTAAGAAGTTGTACGTTGCGTGTGGCTGCTTTTGTTTGGTCTCTGGCCAGCAAGACTGAATAGGCCATAGAAGAATGGGGCCAGATCCAGATGAGGCTTTGATTGGATGATTCAGAGCAAGGCGGGTACAATGTTATGCTTCTTGGCAACTTGGTGGGGTCCCTGAAAATTTCTGTGGCTTATCTGGTCCGAACACCGTTAGAAAGGAACCCCAGCCACATGAGTTCTCTCCTAGCTGTGGCTTCAACGCTTTTATCCCTATATCCTTGTTTCGACCATCTACTTGCTGCACAATCAAAGTCAACAACCTCAACGATGCAGTTCGGCAGCGCCGTTGGCGAAGCATGTCTCTCGTTCGTTCTCACCAATATCGACGATACTTTTGTGCTTGTCATGTTCTTCGCAGAGTCGAAGAGCTCACGGAACCTAACTCCCATTAAGATTGTTGTTGGCCAATACATTGGTTTCACCGTCATCACCGGCGTTAGTTTGATTGGGTATGCCGCCGCAGTTGGGCTTCCCTCTGAACCTATCGGATTTTTGGGGCTATTGCCAATTCTGCTTGGTGTTTGGAAAGGGCTCGGCGTCCTTTTCCCGGAAGGTATCGAGGAGGAGGAAGAGCCAGAGTCACAGCGAATCGCAAACGCCAAAACAATCCTCAAGGTCGTCACAATAACCATCATGAATGGTGGGGACAACATCGGCACGTACATACCTCTCTTCTCCCAAGTTCAGGGTGCAGAGATTGCGATATATGTTGTGACCTATTACATCCTTCTTGGTGTCTTATGTCTCATCACCTTTCTTATCATGAAGCAGAAGCATCTTGTCCATGTCGCCGAAAAGTATGCTTCCTTCATAATACCATTCCTTTACATCGGCCTCGGTATCTATATCACAGTCAAGTCGGAATGTTTCCCCTGGACGGTTCATGAAATCGACGGCCAGCTCCTCGGTAACCCAGGCAAGATAGTCATGGGCGTTGTGGCTTCGTTCACCCTGTCTTTTGTCATGGCGGGTATGGTGTGGATCAGAATGCGCAAGCAGAACAGGCCATTCATTTTCGGAAAAACCGTTCCTCCAGCTGCCCTTGATCCAACTGTCGCCGACGGCAAAGATATCGATCCTCATCAAAATGCTCCAACAAACATCGACGTATCTGATAATACTCATACTACTTAGCTTAGAAATCCTTGCGAGAATATAATGTGCTAGTGCATGGAGCAATGAGTAACAAGAACGATTCTCGTTCGAACAAACGACAACAAGGTTGCCTAATGTAAACAGGGCATTGGACGTTCTTTGTTTATTGGACTAGTTTACCTCATCTATCTATTTGCTTCTAGCTATTGGGCCATAGATAACTCCGTAAACGAAGCCACCCTACGTACTAGTACATTGTTTTCTAGAGAACGTTAATATAAATCGTGATCTCCAACCTCCCAAAGCGTGCATAGTATTCTGGAACCTTCTCGATTCCAATATCAACAGTCATACTCGGATCGCCAATGCTTCTGGCAACTCCACTACCTATGATTTTGATGAGGTGTCCTGCAGTTTGACTTGGGACAACGACTCCTCCGCTGAGACTGACTCTTTCCAGCCAGGACTGAGTGTATGGAAGTGAAACGTTGGTAGGGATCAAGTCAGCACGTGGGGCAAGTGGCGTAATGACCGAAGTGTGGCCCCAAAGAGCTAGAAACCCTACACCATCACCATAGTGCGCAATACCAAGCCTTTGGTTCCAGATATAAGAAGGATTGTATGTAAGGCCAGGATCAAAAGCCTCCAACCCTACGCATTCGACCTGTCGCATTATACCCCACGGTACTTGGCTTTGAATGATCGCAGTGATGTTCTGCGCTTCGAAGTTGATCGGAATAGCACCAAACGACTGGGCCCTTTGTAGGCGTTGTTGAACACGGTCAACGATGACATCTTTGCTAGCACCACGGAGCCGAGCTGAGTAGGCAGTCAACAGACCAATAGGACCCGGACTCCATACTGCAGTGGTATCGCTAGGCTCAAATTTCGACCACGCGAGGCCTTGCCGGGCAGTAGACCAGATATCGCCTGTGTTACGTTTATACTTGAATTGATGGTATTTCTGGTCAGCGGCAAAGGAATTAGATCATCATTGGTCCTAAGGACCAAAGCATATTCAGCTGAATCTTTTTCTAGCAAACAACAATCGCGATGCGAGGCATAGAACTTTTGACGAAATGAAACTATCTTGCTTACCCTGTAGCCCTGATGCTATAGCAACCCTATTACGTGGTGCTAACTCCACCCCACCATAAGTCCCCGAAGTGGATACGACCACATAGGCACCTACCGGAAAAGGCGCAGAGGCCGGCACCAATGCATTCAATAAAATCGACAGCTTCACGTCCAGTACCTCATTCAGGATTCGCGGACGTGAAGCCTCTATAGCCATGAAGGTCTGTACCACACAAGGTGGTCGTCGTGATACAAATGATGACATCCTTGGGCTACTGAAGCTTAGGAATAGCAGCTGGTTCAACAGAAACGTTGAATGCGGTTCCAGTGTACACAACGCGACGTATTGTGCTATTCGTGGCAGCACCTTGAGTAGAAACGGTTGAATACATTGTCCATAGGACTGAGATGATAATCAAGAAACGTATTATGAGTTTTGTTGGTTAGGTCAACTACGAATGCTTTAAAACTCAATGAGCAGTCTAGCTAAAAGCGCGGAATACTAAGCACCATCGCTTTGCCACACGTGAATCATACCTGCTCTGCCGAATAACGACTTGTTCTTGGGTGGTTTCCCGGGTGACTCCCTCAGATACTCTGCCATGTCCTTGATCCTAAATGCTAATCGTGAAGACCAATACCATCTAAGCACGACTACACGTGATTTGGGCACACTTACACGTATGACACAGCCTATACTGGGGGTAGTTTGCGTGATCGTACGGCCAGTTCCGTAGTACATGATTGGACAAGATGGCTGTAGTCTGTGAGTACCGGGGGGTGACGCTGGCAAAATAAGACAGCGGCACGAGCCAAGATACAAAGATGTCTCCTAGCGAGAGGGATACGGAAGAGTGCCGTAGGAACTTTTGCAATCGGCCTTCATCGTAGTTGGGGTTATGATTGTCTGATCTACCGCGCCAAAAAGGTATGTTTTGAGAACTTGACAGCAACATCGAGACTAAATATCAGTAGTTTACTAGCCTCTAAGAATGTGCTGTAGTATGTTACTTTATAGGAATACAGCGTACCTAGGACGGCGGTATGCCTGCCCCGCCTCCTAAATTTACTACAAAGGTATAGCTATAGAGCCACATTAAATAGATATTCTAAAGCCCGTGTGACAATAGCATCTTAGTTCAAACTCTTCGAAAACTGGCTATTCCTATCCCGGGCTATTTAGGTGTCAGTATCAGTCACTGTGTACATCACAACAAGTTCGCATGGCCACGTGGATGGTATATCAGTTCATTGGTTTGATTGATCGTTTTGGCATTAGAAGATTTCCCACGAACCGGCTTTGGATGAGCAGACACACGCCAACTTTTTGTCTTGTTTTCCCCACACAATGCTACATATTCTTATCTACCACCAACTTCCCCACTATCATCAACTGGAAGTGATTTCGGGTGTAGGTACGGCCGTAAGAGTAATTGGAGGTATCGTCGAAGTACTTGACCATCCCTGGGTATACCTTGGATCCCCTGCAAGCGTCGTAATTGGGATCCAAGTCGCATCGGCAGCAGCCGCAGGGTGAACCTGAGAATGTTATTCAAATACCTCTTCTGTAGCGTATCCATGAAACATACCACACAGCTCTGGTAGCTGCCTTCTTTCTTTGCGGCCAGGCTGACCAGGCCAGTCGGCAGCAAAAGCGCCGGGTCGTAATTATACGGGTTGATTGTTGGTGTCGCACATCTAGTGCTAAGTACGTCCGTGCAAGTGCTTATGGCATCGTTCCATTCACAAATCGTCACTTCCGAGCAAATTTTTGTTGCCGAAACCGGCCAGTTCAACGTGCTCAGCGCAAAAGACTTCGGATTCTCGAATGTGGGTCTCCTTCCCCTCGACTGTCTAGTAAGTGTGGAAATAGGCGATTGTGGGATTGATAGTGTTAGAGACGTTAGTTCAGAACCACAGCCAGTGAATCGATATGTTGGCACCCCACCGAACTGCCCGTACAATGTTGGTATCGATATGTAGATCGAAGGCGAAGTAACTGTCAGACCGTCAATCACCTTCACCACAGGTGACTCGGGTTTTGCTGCTTTTGGCGTTGGATGACTGGTTGACATGAGTGTGTTTGTTTGAGGGCAGAGTGGCTGAGTTGCTGGTGTTGGCCAGTAGTAGATCTTTACACTGGATCCCACCAGGCTGCATGGACCGGCGGAAACAGAAGAGCAGGCTCTGTATGTCGTGCATGGAACCGGGAAGTCTGGGATTGGGGTTTCTGTTGTATGAGCCATACTCCAGCTCGACTGTAGTTTTGCACAATCATTTCCATTCACCGTGCAAGTCGGCGTTGGACTGGTCATGCTCGACCACGTGGTGTATGCTGCTGTCGGATACCATTCTGTGACATATGCACTGTACTGTCGGCCCAGTAGACGAGGGATGTTGTCGCAGAAGGTTGAAGTTGGAACAGCTGGGTACGTGGAAAAGATTTCAGTCGAGGTAAGAGTGGTTGTGTACGATTTGGATGCGAGGCTTGACCAGATGGAGTAGTATCGAGTCCACGAGTTGAGACAGACCTGAGCAGGAGGAGGTGGAGGCGCGACTACATCCGCTGTCAATGTCAGTACGACTAGCTTTCACAGCACAACATTTGAGAGATAGAATTCCGTCTAGCTCGTTTGAGGAATGTATTACCAGTTGCATGCGCGGTCAGGACTAAGGAAAGAATTTGGAAACTAAGTGGATTGACCATTCTTGGCGAAAGCATTGTTTAGAGCCCAGATTATGATTGTCGTTACCAAGAAGGAGTACTTCGTGGACGGCTATATAAACGGAAGAGAGCAGATTATCATCGCATACGTAGTACATGCAAAGAGAGAAGCCATTCCAATTTAGAACCCGACCTAGACCTAACCTGATAAATGGCCTATACACTCAATATGACTCTCTGATCTGTAGTCCGCATTAATATCGCCGGATAATCCGTATGAGTGAATATACGAATGGCTTTAAAGGATTACAGCATTTACGAACGTAGGATGGATGACCCGAGTCGTTCTATTCCAGAATGTTTCGTTCTTTTATTGCCAAGGCTGCGGCCCGCCGCTGGCTAGTACGCTTAGGGGATGCGAGTGCAATTTGTGGCGCTCGACAAAGTGCGGGCTTGCAGGAGCTGAACAATACAACAAGGATATAGCCAAGAAAATTTTCTTTCTCATCCCCGTTCGGGGTTGTTGCACAAAACTGGGCGCCAATTTCTCGTAGTTGATAGGTCTATACAGCACAACCCATTCATGACTCTCTACTCAGACAGACACATGACACTAAGCGAATAAACATCGACGGTAGAGATTTGTATCTCACTTGATGCAACTATACATTTAGATAGTCCAAATCACGTAGCTACATGTGTCCCTCCCCACTTAGCTATTTTAGACTCTACAAGCTGTAACTTTTCGCTTTTACTAGGCCATGATCTTTGACCTGAGGCCAATAGTACCTGCAGCTGCTCTTACCTCAGTCTCACTAATTCAAGCTAAGTACTGCTGTTGGACATACAACGGCACTCTAGCTCCAAAAATTGTTTCTTTCCAGCTCTTGTTGACGCCACGAGATGGAGGGCAGTGTAGTGCTGGGCAAACAGAACATCCACATCTTACAATCAAACTAGGTTGTGGATCACCTGAGTCTCGTCAACTAAAATCTGCATGTCGTTCTTTGTGTTGCCTTCACCTATTGCGAGCTGAAGTGGCATGATTTCACATTGGCTACGAGCATCGACATCTGTGCCGTGTGTAGTGAGAGAAGTGACCTAGGCATTGTCGCCACTGTATGCGGCTTAGAACAAAGGCACGCATTCTGCCAGAAAAACGATGCGCAGGTCGATTATGAAATCCCAAAAGGTTATATTCTACGTGGATGTCCTTCCTCATTGACCATTACCTCCGAGATTACTACTAAGTATATTATAAAAGACCCGAACGCCTATGCTTTCCCTTCGTTACTATGTGTACATTAGGTATGTTATACAGTGCTTGAACGCCTATGCTTTCTCTTTATTACTACATTTACATGTGCCAGATCTCATCACACACTTAATAACGAGCAGTATGCGAGTCGGCGGGCGCACCAGCAGGCGCACCAGGCTGTCCAGCGGCGTACTGATTCTGGAGGTTCTTCTCGTGGTCAAGCCTGTTACTACGACGGTAGTCCTTGATCTCGTGGAACGCGGCAGTAAGTGCGTGAAGGAGCCTAGCATCCCAGTCAGTAAAAGATCAGAACAAGAAAGGGTCAAAGCGAGAACTTACGTGCTAATGATAGCCAGGATGAACGTGCCCCAAGGTAGATTGCAAGAATCATCGCGTCTATTCGCCGTCTCACCAGTGGTGGTGTTCGAGCCATCACCGCCGACTGGTCGCCTAGGGTTATAGCAGTGCCTGGGGCCAGCGCGGCCGCCATTTGGCCGAGTCAGCACTGCGACTGCAATGAACGCTCCGACAAACAATAGATCAAGGAGAACCCATAACCAGCGTAGCTTCCTTCCTCCGGGGTTGGCAGACTTCTTGATGCATGAGAGAAGAACGGTGATGAGCGTATAGAGCACAGCGGCGGCTAGGATGCCTTCGACAGCACCGTATGCGCCGTTGACGCCGCGTCGGGTTTTGATGCTGTTAACCAGGCGGTAGACCTTGTACAGGCGCTGGCTGAAGATGCCAAGAGAAACGACGGACGAGATGAACTGCAGGAGGCGGGTGAAGCGTAAGATCCAGCGGTACAATGCCGTCGTCTTCAATCTGTCGGGTACGAAGCGTGTGAGAAGACCGGTCTGTTCGCGTTTGTCTGCAACGGGATGATCGGCGGGACCATCGATTGGGTACTGGTGACGGGCCATCGTGAAATTGATCGTAGAGTTTTTGAGATTGTGTTATGACAAAGGCAAAAGAAGATATTTGCTTTTTGCTTGCTCACTTGTCTTGATGGAGGTGGGCGTCAAGCAAGTGGTCTTTGTATCTCGACAGATAGGATCGTCGCACCAACAAAGTCTGCAATTGTTTGCTCACCTGATACTCGTCACCGCGGCGTCATCGTCGTCACTCATCGCGATTCACTGTGATTTACCCTCAAGATATTGCAAAACACGTGATGACGTCAGTAGTACATCAGAACCACTGTTCTTTGGTTTTCTCATCTTCGTACGATAATGCTTCCTGACCATACACAGTTCAAACAAGGGAGCCAACTGATGCTGGGCATTACATAGGCTAAGACTGACTTTGGAGTGATCAGGTTATTTATCTTGACATGAATGGTCAAGGCCTCTATGTTTTCGAACGTTATCTCATTCCCCATCATTTTGGACGTCATGCTTTCAATTTGGACTCAGGCACCTTACTCTAGACGCAGCTGCTTTGATATGAGGATTATGGTTTGATGTAAGGATGGATTTGTAGTGATGAGGAACCCAAGATTAGTCCGGCTACATGTATCAAACGATGGTCGTTTATTCCCCAGGGTATCAGATGTGTGAACCGATCAATCGAACAACACGCATCATCTCCGGTGCTGATTCTGTTCAATATACGGCTCCAGGGCCCACTTGCTAGGGCGACCGTCCTCGTACAGTGAAAAAGGACAATGCATGCGATCTCATTGCTGACATTAAACTTCAACTTGCCAGAAACTTCTCCAATATGATCCCCATACTTACGGAATTCACTACTGTAGTGCAGGAATTATATCTTTGCTTCCTGTATTTGCGCATAACAGTAGATCTATCTTTGCCGTTTTGAACAATTATCTAACTTGTATTTGCTCCAAAAATTGAAGATTTGAAATTCTTTGACAGATATGAGATGAGAAATAAAATTAATTCAGGGAGTTGGGGGAAGGAGGGATAGCAACTCAGTAAACGTGGTTGTTTTGTCCTTGGGTGTGGAGTTGACGAGAGAAAGTTTGACTAAATATGGTCTATTCTATTCGCATGGGCTTTTCGAATTCACTTGATGTAGACAAAACGCTCATACTTTTCACACCTGAGCTATCCTGCATCGAAAATTTGCTCCTGGTGGTACCTAAGTTTGAAACTCTACGTTTTGAAATGATCCAGACCAAACAGCAGGTCAACAACAGGCTCGAGTAAAGTTGTGACGCCCATGCAATGCGAAGGTCTGTATCGAAGTGTGTTCACGCATACGTAAGAGTGGTGTAAGCCCCAGCGCGATTGGCCACATCCTTTACCAGAATCGGGTATTCGGCAACAATTATCGAACAGCAGCATGCAGTGACAATAAACAGAAGACAACAACTGGAAAAATGACCTGATACAGGTTTGACTGCACCAGACAAATTACGGTGACTGTTCTCTCTCACGATCACAGTCGCCCAGGAAATCATAACCTGATTATTCGCAAAGAGGTACATTTCCATACTTGAGAAAAAACATATCGCGGCAATCTATTGAACATCTCATGCAAGGTGTTAAAGCCTAGTGCCTCATCATATCGCACGCGAACAACCTGACCTACGCCAAGCCACGGCGTGATCAGATCTATGTAATTCCATACTAAATATTTTCATTGACAAAAGAAGGATATCATGCAGCCTAAACAAACCAGGACCAGCAAAACCAATGGAAGCCAACCCCCTGGTCCCCAAAGTGATTATCAAAATGACGATGAAATTGCGTCGACACGCTATCTGGAAGCCATTTCGGTTGTTTTGTATTCGCAAACATGCTATCCCCAGATCAAATCAGTCTGATCTACATTAGACTGATTCAGGTCACATGATCCGTCCGTTCTTTTGGACTATCTGGTCTGAACCAGTACGGTCAGATAAGATTAGACAGGATTCGGCATGGACGAGGCGAAGGCTGGGATAGGTCATCACCGAATGGAGAGTACATGGTCTGATTGATCAGTCCATCTATTCCAATACATTACTTTTGTCCAAAGTTCTCTCAATTTACCTCCATTCTATCCGCCTGAAGCCTCTGATTCTGCTTTTTTGGGAAGGAAGAAGGCTGGGGTATCATGATCGGTTTTCCTTGCCAGGTTCCAGCAGCTGCCCACTCACCAATCCACACACCATTTGATTCATCCAGCTCCATGTTGTTCAATACTTCCAGACGCTCTGATTCGTCCAAGGGATCTTTTGCGGACGCCTTGACGGACTCGGGTTCCCCGGTTGCCCGGTTCACTGAGCTGAGGGAAGGGTAGTCGGACTTGGCGTTCATGACAGCGGTGTGGGCGTGATCGATGCGTGTGAAGACTATCATGCCGGAAGCTATACGATGCTTTTGTCCAGCATGTCGGAACTTTTTGTCCTTCAGAAGTACAACCATATCCACTTCGCCGTACTTTGAAAACATGGTCGCAAGCGTGTCCTTGTCCCAGTGCTCTCTGTCGCCTTCCCTCGGAAACTCAAATTTGACAGCGCGAGCCATTTCAGAGGATTCGCTCTGCTGGGTTGCCTGCGGCTCTGACCTCTTCCTCATGGCCTCGAGATGGGCCTCTCGCTCTTCTTGGGCTTCCTTTGCTAGGCGCTCATTGATTTCGTGGTAACGTTTCCTACCACCTTTATGTATTTCATGAAGCTTCCGTTCAGTCTCGGTCATATCCTCGGGATTCTTTCTCTTGATGCCAGACTTCTGATCTTGATACTCTCTTTCCCTTCTCTCAAGGTCTTCTTTCAACTTGCGTCGTCGACCGTCCAGCATCTCGTCCTGCAGCACCTTCTCGCGCCGCCTAGCTCTTGCGCGATCATATTCGCCTTTGAGGTTTTCGTCAATAAGAATGTCGCGTGCCCATCCCAGCAGAATGAAGCGATCAGCAGCATTCTTGTCGTCGGGATTTTTATCTGGATGGTATCTGATAGACGCTTTGCGGTATGCTTTCTGGATGGCGTCTGCATCTGCGTCAAAGGCTACGTTGAGTAGCTCGTAGAAGTCATCCGTGGAGGATTTTGCAAGATCCTCTAGTTCTCTGTTGGCTGACATCGCTGCAGTGTGACGCGACAACTACCGATATCTTAGTAGTGTATGCGCCCGAGCGACGATGGGGATCCGCAGTATCATGTAAGAGAAGGGAAGGGTTAGGCAAATGAGAGAGATGCGCACTAGGGCTTCCACTAGCGCGCTTTCTGCCTGTGCAGGGATCCTTAGGCAGCCGTTATACCTGTTTGGGCCTGGACCCATGATAGCTTCCGACGCTATATCTTCGGAATCAAAAAAACTGGACAGCGTCAACGGTGTGCATCAACAGTCGTGGTTGCGGGACAACTGCAGGGATAATTGCAAATCATTTTCAAGACTACCCATACTTCTGCAATACACTACGGACACTTACCTTGTTGCGTCATTCTTAGAAACACGATCGGGAGACTTTCACTTCGCGCGTGGAGCCTTCGAGCTGACCTTCCTTCCACCGTTGATGTTCATCGCATCATCGATCAAACGCGCAGCCACAGTCATGGCCACTTCCCCCAAAGAGAGCAGGAAAAAGGTGCTTGAGGGCATATTTGCCGTCAACAAGACTCAATGGGCATCCTCAGCAGGCGTGCTACGCGACCTGCAGGAGCACTTTGCTCGTTCCTCACTCCTCGCGCCTTGGCTTGAGAGCCAAAAACGGTCACTTATCCTGTCCCACGCAAAACAGAAGCATATCAATAATCTCAAGGTAAAGCTGGGTCATGGCGGCACTCTTGATCCAATGGCTACTGGTGTCTTGATTGTCGGGCTGGGAAGAGGCACAAAGTGTCTGCAGCGTTTTCTGGAATGCACAAAGACATACGAATGCGTCGTGCTATTTGGTGCTGCTACAGACAGCTACGACGCTGTTGGAAAGATAGTTAGCAAGGCGCCATACGAACATGTCACAAAGGAGCTGGTAGAAGAGAAACTGGCGCAGTTCCGTGGCAAGATTATGCAGAAGCCAAGTGTCTTTTCAGCGCTCAAGGTCGACGGCAAGAAAATGTATGAATACGCAAGAGAGGGTAAGGAGATACCCGAGGTAGCTGCGCGACCCGTGGAAGTGGAGGAGCTAGAGCTTGTTGAGTGGCTGGAACCAGGAAGCCATGAGTACGCGTGGCCAAAGGACGAGGTCGATGGTGTCGAGATGGAAGGCGCGAAAAAGCTACTTGGCATTAGAGAGGAAGATGCAAAGATCCATGCCAATACCATGGCGAGGAAGGGACGAAAACGATCGCGTTCTCCCGAGAGCGATGGCGTAGAAGGCGCCGGAAAGCAGCCAAAGATGCCCAAGTCAGAGACAGAACTAGCCATATCTGGTGCTTTACCATCACAAGATACGCCAGCAGAGGCGGCCGAGACCACCCAGGATGAGACTACGCAAGCCGCTACTAATTCAGCACTACCGACAGAAGAAAAGCCAGAGCCCACATCCGAGCAGACAGAGATAGCAGATCAAGGACAGCCATCAAACGAGGAATCTACCACATCCGCACAGTCACCACCACAACCTCCAGCAGCCCGGCTCCGCATGACCGTCACATCAGGCTTCTACGTCCGCTCCCTCTGTCACGACCTCGGCCTCGCCTGCTCCTCCCTAGGCCTCATGTCCTCACTAATCCGCTCACGCCAAGGCGCCTACACACTCGGCCAAAACGTGATTGAACTCTCTGACTTCGAGTCCGCCGAGAAATGGGAACCGCAGCTACAGCAGCAGCTGGAAGAATTCATGGAAAAAGAAGGGTGGGAGGCCGAAGAGCTAGAAGATGACGAGACGTGGCAGGAGAAGAAAAAGGAGCGGTTGAGTGAGAGGAAAGACGAGGATCGCGAGAGGAGCTATCGTGGTGGTGGTGGTGGTGGTGGGGGCGGCAAGAATAAGTGGAACAAGGGTAAAGGCAAGTACTCGCGGAATCAGTACTCCAAGAACATGGATGGCGGGAAGAAGGAATAGTAGGAATGGCAAGAACAATCTTGCTCGTATAATAATGATATTGGTCGATATCTATTCTGTAAATGGACAATGAAAAAAAAATTATATGACAAATATCCCATCCTGCCCCGTATCTATATGAGAAAAAAATTCCAACACCATTACTGCGCCCCAGACTCGAAAGGGCAACAGCGGTAAATGCAATGAAGATGCTCTCAAAAACGACAAAAAGACTCAAACCTCAGACCTCGAGTTTCGTCGACTCAAACTTTGCCGCACGCTCTGAAAACTCCCACGTGCACTCGTATCCGCCGAACCTTGCACCTCATCCTTTCTATCTTCATGATTGATAAAGAGAAACGAAATTACCATGATGGCAGCACCCACCCAGTAGAGCGCACTCGCGTACTGGGCATCGAGCAGCATCTGGCCAACCAAGGAACACGGAATCGTCAGACTGAGACCAACGGTAACAACAAGGGGAGACGTGAGGAACATGGCGTAGGCCCAGCAAAAGTCCGACACAAGCGACGATGCACTGTTGATAAGCACAATATTGAGAATGCGCGTGGTGGGCGGGAGTTCAAACTGCTCGATGCCCGTGAGGTGGAGGATGATGAAACCAGGCCAGAGAAGCACGACATTTGCCAACCCCACCAATCCAAAGAAGAGCGGCATATTGACTTTTGTCTCATCTCCAATTTTGGCCTTCATGAACACAGTGTAGAAGCCGTAGAGAACTGCAGAGACAAACGCCATGACGTCGCCAATCGCCAGTTCACGGGGTGTTTTGTGAGGAAAGGTACCCCGGTTTTCGTCCGTTTCGCCGGATACATCGACCAGGGAGATCAGGACGACACCGCTTAGGGATGCGAGAACGCCGACGAGCTTGAGCACGGTAAAGCGCTCCACGCGCATTATGGAACCGAGCAGGAGCGTCCAGATGCTCGATGTAGAAGACAGGATGGTAGAGCTGGCGACTGTCGTGTACTCGAGACAACCTGCTGCAAAGTAATTTGCTAGAAACCAGAGGATGCAAAACTCGAGAGCTAGTTTGGCTGTATCGTGTAGTGTTAATCCCCCTGTGTCTGTGACATGTCCCACATCTTTTCCGCTACCGAGGTTCAGGGACCCTGGGGCTGATGATGAGAGCAACACTTCGGTCGCTTCGTCGTTCCTGGACTCGTGCGATGGTACCAAGGAAGAGCTAGATTCATGTTCGCGGAGTAGTGTCCATTTCCCTGTCTGGCGTTGCAAAAGATTATAGATGTGTGTGACGAACGGCTGTCGAGGCTGGCGCGCAGTATTTGGTTGGCGGTAGTCGCTCCATAGGCAGTGCAAGAGCATGGGTAGTAGCGGCAGAATGAAGAAGGACGTGTTTACGTAGGTTACGAAGTAGGGTTTCGAATAGGAGTTATCTGCGAAAATAGTCTGTTCATACGTCAGTCGAGATGCCATGCGGATGCGACATGTCGTATCATGTGGAAGAGCAACGTACGCTGGCCAGAAAATTACTCGCAGTCCATAGAAACACGGTCGCAAGCAGGAATCCTATGCCGATAGCGTGTCTGACCTTGCTCGACCATGCTCCCCTCCCATCCTTCCCGTCCACCCACTGGCTGGCTTCGGTCGCGGGACTGTCGAGATAGTCTTGGGAGCGCATAAATGCACTCTCGTCAGAGACATCGCTGATGCGCGGGCTGATGGGTGTCGTTTCGACGAGCTCTTCTCGCCTGGGTATCATGGTGGAGAGATGTGGTAGAAACTATGGCGGGTGTGCTCGTGTGATTGCGCAAGCTGGTCAGGGAGGGTCTTCGGGGATGAACGGAGTCAGGGTTGGAGATTGCGTCGACGCATGAAACAGGATCCAAGTGCCCATCAATTGATCAGTGAACGAGCGGACGCCAGGAGGTGGGCAGGTGAGGTTGCACGGAGTGCTTCGGAGGGACACGCGGACAGATGCGAAGTATTGCGTCGATTCGGGGGTTTCATTAGCCTTCTTGTCTCAGGTGGGCGTGGTCACGGCCCGCCACAGCCCACCCACGGTTGGTGTGGCTTGCCGACGCCGCTGCGGCTATTCGGCCCAAGCCACGCGATCACGCTTTTACCAACTTATCGACATGACCTGCAATGCTCGTATAGCCGAGGTGTTTGTATTGTGTATTTAGTATATGCAGCTACATAGACTCGCAAACGATGAAATCCGTCAAAAAGAGTACGTTGCAGAAAATGCTTCTCCTGCAAAAAAGTATGCCAAAACACCAGACGCCATATCAACTCCACATGCAAGGCGGCGTTTCGGCATAAACATATCCACTAATCTTGTTATCGGCCATGCCCGTTCTGTCAGCGTGTCCACTAGCATGCGCAACCGCCCTCGTTTCCCTTGAGGTCAATCGGGATCGTCTCGGGGAAGTCGTTGCTGAAATCGCCGACATCTTCTTGCGCCAAAGCTTGTCGTGCAATGACTACGCATGTCAGCTACTAGAAACCGGATTTTGCAGTATAGACATTTCAAGTACCTTCAAAAGCTTGTTCGACGTTGATGGCCTCCTTGGCGCTCGTCTCGAAATAAGGAATGCCGCCCTTTGATTGGCAAAAGGCCATGGCGCGCTTGGACGAAATCTACTTGTCTGTCAGGCCAGTTCACAGACCGGGTGCACGATGCGCACTCACCATGCGTTTGCTTTCTTCCACATCAATCTTGTTGCCAATGACAACCTGCGTTGGTCAGTAGCTGCCCTGTTGCTGCATCGTGCATGTCCACTTACGAAGGGAAAGCTCTCTGGGTCCATGGGGCTAGCCTGGACGAGAAACTCGTCTCTCCAGCTATCGAGGGTGTCGAAACTCTTGGAGTTATTCACGTCGTATACGAGCACGCAACAGTCGGCGCCACGGTAAAAGGCCACTCCCAGCGATTGGAAGCGCTCCTGGCCAGCTGTGTCCCAGAGCTTGGTTCCGTTAGCCTATTGTTCACTAGTACAGCCAGTGCAAACGCACCTGCATGGTGACGAGCCTGTCGTCAACGAGCACTTCCTTGGTCAGGAAATCGGCCCCGATGGTTGCTTTGTAGCTTGCGCTGAACTTCTTGTTGACCTGGTCACTTTGTATAAGCACTGCGATGAGGATTCGAACAGGCGCCTTGTCGGTCGAGAGCTGGACTGGGAGGGGTTCGTACATATTGGTTCATCAAGCTCGTTTTGCCGACCCCGCTGTCTCCGAGGATGATGACCTGGGCGCATTAGCAGTAGTTCAATATATTTTGAGAAGCTTCAGTACCTTGAGAAGGACCTTCTTTCTTGAAGCCATGGTGTGCAGCGTATGTGGAGCGTGTGAAGACTAGGGAGTGCGCAATTGACTCAAGGCGCGAAGCTCAGTAGTCTGCGACGTCAAGTCGGTTCTGGATGCGGGGTTATGTGACGAGAAGGTCGATGGTCGCTGAAGGGCTGTACAGCTCTGGGAGATGTCGTCTCGAGGAACCGAGAAAAGAAGATGGGGTTTGGGGCGCAGGTACGGTGAGCAAGTGTACAGCTATGGTGCCAACAATGGATGATGGTTGATGTCAAGGCTGCGCACGGGCCGCACGCTAGCTGGCTGCCCCATCATTTGATAACATCTGAGCTTGGTCCAGCCGCGCGCGCACATGACCATGCATTCACCCCTGCTTCCTAGTACGGATGTGTAGTAAGTATAAACAACGATACATGTTGCTGATAAACATTGGGGTGTCCTTTGTCTCAAGCGCTCGAAATCATGTCTTGTGTCAATTGTTGGATGTTTTGGTTGTATTTTTGACATCACTGCATCTCTACTCTAGGAAACTCCAAGTCAATTCTCTCTTTTTTTTAAAAAAAAAAACTAAAAAAAAACTCAATGCCAGCGTGTGTATTGAGTTCTGCACTCTGGAGCTATGTTTAGTGATAGCAATCTAAGGTGTAACCTCTGAAGGACTAGTTGACAGAAATGCGGGTTGTTAGTGCTATGTAAGAGTCTCGATTTTGAGACTGCAGCTACGGTAATCAATGGTTGGAGAGGGATGCTAATCCTATGGTTTCCCAGGGCTTGATAAAGACTCGATAAGGTTTTGTCGTCTAGGCATACCGTGCGGACCCGGCCTGACGGTCACCAATTATTGTTATTACTGTTCAGAGATTCGTAATTGGCCGGGGTAAGGGTGATGTTTGCCCGGGTACCGAGGCGCAGGAGGTATAATGTAAGACCACTACAGTAACTGCCCGGAACAAGTTTCCAGGCGGGGCAATGGGCAAGCTGTAGTATATGTAAGTAGTAGTGCAGTAGTGCCGGTGGAGAGCCGCGAGGAGAAGACGATTGAATATAAAGAGAGGGTACTGTACTGTACCACCGGGACACTGCACGAGGGCGTCACATGGCACGAGCAGTGCAATCACTTTGTAGGCATAGGCGCACACCGCGGGCGGTGAGGGCTGGACTCGATTGCAGGCCAAAGACGGTTCTGTGGGATTGGCCGAGTGGTGAGCGCCAGGCCTGATGTGGCTGCCAACTTGCCAACCCCCCGCGCTCGTGACTGGGGCGGGCGGGCGGCTCCCAATCCGGTGGGAGGCCGGATCTGGGGGTGAATAGAAAGATGCATGCACGCATGTACAGTCAGCCAGTGCGCGCAACCTTCACATACACACACCCACAGATTCTTCATTGTCCAAGACGACGCTCCTATCGGCGTTACTACTACTCCCACTACTACCGTGTGCCCACCCATACCCCGCATACCCAAGGCCAGGCCCATGCAGGTACCCATGCGGAGCCATTGACGAGCCACAGCCCCAGCCCCAGCCCAGCCCAGCCCTCAGCAGCGCCGGCCTCTCCTCTCAGCCGTCGCAAGCCGACCGAACGACTGTCTGGTCCAGTCCAGTCCACCACCAAACATGTCCACGACTGCCTCCAATACGTCTCCACCAGCGCGCTCCCAGACTGCCACGGCCCAGCACACTCGCACCTACCAGGCCTGCATCCCCTGCCGCCGCCGCAAGGTCCGCTGCGGTATGTCCTTACCACCACTCGACCGCCTGCGCAGTGCTGCTTGCTGATACTGCCCTCGCGGCCTCTAGATCTCGGCCCCGTCGACAATCCCCACGACCCGCCATGTGTGCGCTGCCGGCGCGAGAGCAAGGAGTGCTTCTTCTCTGCCACGCGCCGCAAGAGAAAGACCGACGACGGCGAGGAATATGACGAAGCCGACGACTACGAGATCCGCAATGCCCGCAAGCGCCAGCGCTCCGATGGCCTGCAAGAGCCCCTCACAATCACCACGGCCAACTCAACCGCCTACATCTCCCAGCCCTTGACCCCCGGCGGCTCCATCGGTCGCTACGAGCCTCTGCGCCGCCCAAACACTTCGGCCGGCCAGTCGTCGCAGCACAATGACGAAGAAGACCAAAAGGTAAACAACGAGACCCTGGCCACGCTGCAGACGGGCGAGGTCTACAGCGGACATGACGCCCTCAACCTGCTCTTCGAGGCTGCCGGCATGAACGCCCACCACCGCACCGGAAGCAGCTCCAGTCTACAGCGCCCCAACCTCGGCAGCACTCCAGGCTCCCAGACAAACTTCGCCAGCCCCCGCCCCAACCTGTCACATGCCCGCACAAACTCGCGCCCTACCGTCGAGCCCTCGGTCGACCCTGCTATCCAGCAGCCCTTGTTGCCGGACCCCCCCAACGAAGCCGCCTTTGCGGATGCAGTGCGCGCCTGGTCCAAGTTCCGCTTTGTTCGCGCCGGTTGGCTCACTGCGAAAGAGGCCATTGCCTATATTGACTACTTCTACGCCTTCCTATCTCCCCTCACTCCCATTGTCGTGCCAGACTACCGCGATCATGCCTTCCACGCAAAGCTGCTCAAGGAGGAGCCCATGCTGGTCATTACCCTCCTGACAATTTCAGCTCGCTATTCACAACCTAGCGGATCCAGTGGTGTTGGCGCCACATCTAGGTCATATCTCATCCATGAAAAGCTATGGAAGTACCTGCAGGGCATGATAGATCGCATGATCTTCGGTCAGGAGCAGTTTGGCGGTGGATTCTGCGGCGCTGGACAACAGCCTGGGTCCGACGTGAACCCTCTGTCGCGCAAGGGCCTTCGAACACTCGGCACTGTCGAGAGCCTGATGCTGCTCACAGAATGGCATCCGCGCGCCCTCCATTTTCCACCTGGTGATGACGATGATGAACTCATTCTGCCCGATGATCCATACGAATCAGGTCCCAAAGCCGACATGTACAAGGAGGTGGGCGACAAGCGTATCGACAGCTGGCTCGAGCCGTGCTGGCGTAGCGATCGCATGTGCTGGATGTTGCTCGGTAATGCCATGACGCTTGCCTTTGAGATTGGCGTGTTTGATGAAACCAATGAGACCGAGTTCGAGGAAGCCAACCAGCACTTGTCGCATGCCACAGTCAAGGCTTATTATCGTCGGAAAAACCATTTGCGTGATCTTCTGATTATATATGTCACGCAGACTAGTGGCAGGTTAGGGCTGACGTCCATGCTTCCCAAGATTGATCGCGACGAAAGCCTGACCGGCGCTCCTTCGCCACTAGAGCTATACAAGGACCGCATCAGTCGCATCAAAGCCCCTCCTGCTCAGTTTGGCATGCGCTCAGACGGACAGCGTCTTCCTCTTGAGTCCATCGCCACACAGGAGCGCCATGCCATTCAGGATCTCGTACTTGACTTTTGGCAGCGCATTGCCAAGATTATGGAGATGGGTAACCTCAAGTTGTTTTCAAACCGGCGCAAGACGCGCGAGCTTCTCAAGACGGGCACGTACGAAGAGATGCTCAAGTTCTTCCAAGGGCCTTTGGCAGAATGGAGGAAATGCTTTGACCGAGCGCCTCAAGGTATGTGCAGTTCGATTCGTGTACTTGAGTACCTTGTGTCTGACTTGTGATAGTGCCTACTCAGCTCCGTCATGTTCTCATTATTGAGTTCGAGTATACACGCGTCTATCTCAACTCACTAGCCTTACAAGCAGTCGTGGAGCGCTGTACGCACAACACTCCACTCCAAACACATGCCCAGCCAAACGTTGTCAATGGCCGTGCTACCAACGGCAATGAGGATGGTGGGGCAATACCCTTTAGCACGCTGGTCAAATGGTATGCCAACGATCGCCACTACATCAACGAAGTCATTGATGCGTCCCGCAACGTGCTCAAAGTTGTCGTTGATGGCCTCCATCCAGGTGGCTACCTGCGACATGCGCCTGTGCGCACCTTCTTCCGTATTGTCAGTGTAGCCATCATTCTGCTCAAGACATTTGCACTAGGTGCAACTGAAGAGGACGTTGCCGTTAGTCTAGGCCTACTCAGCAGTTCCGTCGACGCATTGCGAACAAGTATCGTAGACGATGTGCATGTCGGTAATCGCTTTGCCGACCTGGTCGAGACACTGACCCATCGTATCCGTTCTCGATTCGTGCGCCTTACAGCTAATGGGTCAACCGGCATTTCCCGAGCTGGCAGCAAGAGTCCAGTCCAAGCACCAATGATGCCTCCACCTTCTGCACTCAACAACACCAACCATCTCGCACCACCATACATGGGGTCTCAGCAAACGGGCTTTTCGGGATCTGGTACCAGTGTTCCCGGATCACCCAGCATGGGACTGAGTACGAGTGGGCGGGCAACCCCTCTGTGGGGCATCTCATCTGAGCCATACGATCCAAATTCGAACAGTATATCCATTATGCCACCACCAGGCAACTACACCAACTTTTCTGCAAACACCAATGGCAACAACCACAACAACACCAACGCCAATGGCAATGGCACAAACTCCAATGGAACCAATGGCACACAGTGGGGCCAGTGGACAAACAACGGTGGTGGTGGCTGGGGTACAGGCCACGATCAAGACTGGCTTGCTTTACCCCTCGACCCACTGCTGGATCAGTGGGGTGCAGAGATTAACCAGACGGCCATGGGACCGGACATTGGAGGCATGGACATGTTGGATATCTTGTTGAATATGGGAGGACCGCCTGGTAGTGCATAAACATATACGTGGGTTTTTGTTCATCTTTCTTTTCTTTTCTTTTTCTCCTTACGAGGTTTGGGTTATGTCTCTGGGTAATTTCAGGCTGATCAGGGGGGTAGGGGGGGGGGGGTTCTTTATTGGGGTTTTGCATGAATTACGATACGTATGAAGAAGAAAGAATGGGAGTTAATGGCAATCTGGATAATGACATGTTTTAGCCACCAAGGGGAAAAGTTATAAAGGAGGGTTCTTTTTTTCAAATTTTCCAAATTCTAGTATATGCTGCTGTTCTCTATTTGAAATGAAAAAGAAATCGAAAACAAGATGAAGAGTCTACGATAGGAATTTCTGATAGGATCAAAAAAATTCTCATTACATCGTTCACGATAATACATCTCATGTTCCAATAGCATATATAATTTTTTCTGAGAAAAAAAAAATAACTTTTCCGTACCCAAACCACATACACACTTACCTCTTAAGCGTCTTCTGCTTCTCTGCATCAACCACGACCTTCTCCCCCGCAACACGGAGTCCCTTGCGCTTCCTCACCTTATCCACATACCTCTTTGCCACATTCTCGCGGTCTGCAAGCTCACCCAGATCCTCAAGCTCATCTTCAGTAAAAGGGACCCAAAAGGGGTCTTCGTCGAGCATTTCGAATCCCGCAAAGCGGAGCTGAGGCGACGCCGAGCCAGAACTCCTCTTGCGGATTTCGTCGCTGAATCCAAAAGATTCGGCGACGGGGAGGAGCGCATTGATAGTGAATGTTTGGGATCCCGTGGTGGATGCGGATGACGTCGACGACAGGGTTTCGCTGAGAATGGTGCCGCGGCGACGAGTCAGGACGGCGTAGACGCGACCCAGGACATCGGTCGAGGCTTGGATTTCGCAGCTGTACATTGCGAGGAGCATGCGGGGGGACCAGTCGAGGAAGCCCTGATGGATGGACGAGCGCACGGCTTTGATGACTTCGCCCGTGAGGCGGCCGCGGTCTTGCTGTGCGCCTTCGTCTTCGCCCAGGTTTAGTGTCACGGATTCTAAAAATACGGCGATGCCTTGCACGGGCTCTGCGCAGCAAGGGCCTTGGGCTGTGGCTAGCTGGAAGGCGTAGGCAATGGTTGAGGAAAAGGTGCGGGGGGATATTGTACGATCTGATGGCTCTTCTGCGTCTGGGTCGGGAGACGATGAGTCGCGTAGTCTGGGATGTTCGTTAGCACGTTGGGAAAAACAATAGTCAATAAATCATCAGAGACTTACGCCTTGCTGCAGATGCCATCTGGGGTTGCATCGACGAGAATATTAGGTCCTATTCTTCGAGGCCCAAACGCAGTAATCTTCTCAATCACGTCAGTCCACACTTCCTTCTGTCCCTTTGCTTCGGCAAAAGCTTCCTTGAGTTGCTTCTTGAACTCATCTAAGCTGAGACTCTGTCCTATTTCGCGTTTCTCCGCTTCTTGGATGCCATCGTCTTCATTTCCATGCTCTTGATGTTCTGCATTCCCGCCCTCGTCTTCTGCTCGTCGGTCCGAGTATAATTTTTTGATAGCGCCAGCGTTCTTTCCTAAGAAATCCGTGACGCTGGCTGGTAGTGGGCGTACCCGCAGGCGTACTGACACCTGCTTGCTTGCTGTCTCGCCAATAACAGTGCCCCTGGGTAGATTAGGGTCCTTTGGCGGATTCATCTCAGCCGCTGCGACAATCGATTCTCGGTAAGGCACGATGGGCTCGCCAGCCTGTATTTCGCACTTGGCGAATCGTTCTTTCAAATCCTTCAAACATCTCTCCAAGTGCAGTTCTCCCGCAGTGAGAATTACGTGCTCTCCACTAGGTAGTTGCTCGTATTCTGCGCACGGGTCGCTCTGAACAAGGAGTTTCAAGCCCCTGATCATCTTGTCCAAATCATAAGGGTTCTCAGGCTCGAGAGCAACACGGACGATTGGCTCAGTGCCCATCTGGACACCAGCCAGGTTGACAGCTCCGGGCAATTGGGAACACAGTGTTCCGGACTTGAGTATGTGTCCTTCGAGTCCACCAATTCCAAAGACGACGCCCGCAGGTACTGAGGTCAAGGGCTCCAAGCCGCGGCCCATCATGAGATACAAAGCCGTGATCTTGACCTTTTGGGGTTCGGGTGTAGCGTGTGGATTTGCAGGAGTGAACTTTGGGCCGAGCACGTATACTTCATCGCCCACGTTGAGAGTTCCGGAGAAGATACGCGAGAAACCGATCAGGTGTTCTGCCTCTTCCTCAGCTGCCTCAGCCTCCTCTACCGGAGTCTCGGTTTCTCCAATGGTCGAAGAGCCCAGAGCATCTGTGACACTGCCAACATCTGTATCTTGGCCATTGGCGATGGCTTGCTGGCGGGCAATCTCAGCCCTCTTCTTTCTCCCCAACTCCCTTGCCTCTTCGGCAGTCAGGGCGCCGGCCCTTCGCTTGTTCTGGGGTAGCTCGCTGGAGGGTACCGAGATCATTTTGCTAACATAGGCTACGACAGGGGCACCGGCCGATGTTTTGAAATTGGTCATTGCATCTCGTACTTGTGGATCAACGTAATCGGCGCCCGGTGAGGTGTCAATGATTTCAGGCATGCGTTCGAACTGCGCCTTGGATGGGGGAGGTAGGTATTCTGTCACAGATACTAAGAGAGCGGTCGAGAGCGGAAGCCAGGCTGCGAAAAGCGCCATCAAGAGAGTCCTGGGGTCGCGGGAGCGCATAACGTGTGCAGGGAGGTTGAGGTTGAGCGACTTGGTAATCTTCTCGACCATGGTAGCATCTCTGTAATAAAAGGCATAAGTATATTACTAAAATACATGCGGAACGTATCACTCAAGGAAAGGAAATCCACGCACCCCTTCCCGTTGCTACCTCCTGTAGTGGCCTCGTACACGGCCCAGATATTGTCCAAGACGAGCTGGACAAACATGGGCTTGAGGTGTCGGCCCTTGAGATGTTTTGAGCTAAGGACACGCTTGGTCTTGGGGTCGAGGTAGAAGTCGCCCCAAAGGACTTTTTCGAGAATGGAGCGCTTGATGCCCAGCTTCTTCTCGTACAGGCCTGCAAACTGCCTCACAGTGAAAGCCCAGCCGTCAATGGCACTGCCGAAGATGACGTTGTTCTTTTCAGGGGCGAAGTAAATGTCTTCATCGTCTTTTTCCTTGTACTCGGCGGGGGTACTAGTCATGTCAATGCTGTCACCGTTTTCCAGCACAGATGAGGATCGCGTGTCAGTCTTGTCAGCAGCAGCGGCAGCGGCAGCGGCAGCGGCATTGAGGCGCTCTTCCATTTTCTCGCGCCACCGGAGATCATCCTCCATGCGCTCGCCTTGGTAGAAGCTGCCCATGACGGCGTTTACCTGTTCAAGCAGTTTACTCAAGTGCGTGTATGCTTCGGCCGGACTCATTTTGAGTTCTGTGATTAGCCTGTCCATCTTGTTGATGACGAGCAGAGGCTTTAGCTTCTCTATCCATGTCTGTCGCAGGACGGTAACAGTCTGGCTGCAGACACCCTCGACGGCATCTACGAGCACGACGGCGCCATCGCAGAGGCGGGATGCTGTAGATACCTCGTAGCTAAAGTCTATGTGTCCCGGCGAGTCTATAAGGTTGATGAGGAATTCCTTGTGCTCGGGAGCGGCGTCGGGGGCGGAGCGGCGCAGCGAGGAAAAGAAGAGGGAGATGGCCGACGACTCCATGGTGATGCCACGCAGCTGTTCATCGGGCCTCGAGTCAAGGTAGCGGATCTTGCCAGCGAGCTTGGGGGAGATGATGCCATTGGTGGCGATGAGGGCGTCGGTGAGGGACGTCTTGCCATGGTCCTACGTGGGCGTGTTTAGTGGGCGTGGATGGACGAGGCCGAGGGAGGGGCGACGTACGACGTGGGCCAGGATGCAGATGTTCCTGATGCCGTCAGCAGCCTGCTGCAGGGCGACGAGCTTTTGACTGGCAACGACAGGCATCCTGGCGGTTGCGAGTGTTTCAGTGGTGATGCAGCGAGGGCGCCCGTGCAGTGGTCAGATTGGAGGGGAGGGGTGCCTGCGGGCGCTCGTCAGGCTGCGAGTTGGCTGTGTGGGTATGCGAGGGCGCGTGGACGGGGCGAGTGAAACAATCAGGATGTGGAGCTGCAGTAACAGCAGGTCGCTACGTATCTATGTGCATGGAGTGTCACCAGCATCACCGAGTACTACTATATCCAACATGACCATCATCCCGCGTCAGGATGGCTCACTTTTTTTTGTGGAGGGGCGGCGGCGGCAGCCAAGCAGAGGTGGGTGTAAGTATGCACCAAGACGTCAGCGAGCCCACTATGGTACCGAAGCAGTAGGGGTACGACTACTGTGTAATAAGTACATAGACGGCCCGCCTGTCCAAAATGCATGTATATCCACAAAACACAGTACACATGCAGACATGGAATGTGTCTCGACGTGCTCTGCACCCTGTCCCACCAGAAGCACACATGTATGTAAGTATACATACACATGTACACATTCGCTGGTGTGACTTTGGTTGCGCCGGTCATCTGGCCGGCCATGGGCTTGGTAGGTAGCGCGGGCCCGCCCATGGCCCTGCATCGCCCCTGTCCCTGGTCCTTCGCGTATGTGCTGTGTACCTACCATGTTCCATCTCTCTCACTCTCACCCCCCCCCCAACAACAACAACACTCGGAATATACTCGACCCCCTCGACCTCCACTCCATACCCGTCCCATACATCCAAGTCCACACGCACGCACACACATACGCACACGCACACGCACACGCACACGCACACGCATACACCCTCGCTCCTGCACTTGACTGCATCCAAGCCCACCGCCCGTGAATGCAACTCCCACACCCCCCGACATGGCAGCCACACTGGACAACCACGCACCCACGCACCCGCCAGAAATGCGCCCTACCGCCATGACCCTCGACACGCCCGCCATGCCCAACTCCAAGACAATCAACACCACCGTCGACCTCATGTCGCCCGTCAACCAGAACGGCTGCTTCGAGTTTGACCGCATCATCAAGGCCGGCACCGTGGTGAAGCGCACGCGCAAGACAAAGGCACGCCCATGGCCACCGCTGCCCCAGACGTCTGCTAACTCGCCTTGTAGTCATGGAAGCCCGTCTACCTTGTCCTGCGCCCAAACTACCTTTCCATCTACAAGGACAAAGATGAGACCAAGCTGCGCCATCAGATCAACCTCACCGAGATCACCGCCGTCGCTCGCCAGCGAGACTCGAAGAAGAAGATGGACCACGTCTTTGGCATCTTCTCGCCTGCCCGCAACTACCACCTCGGCGCCTCGACCGACAAGGCCGCCCAGGAATGGGTCCACCTCATCCGCACAGAGGCTCGCATTGGCGTCGAGGACGAGGCCGACATGGCCATCCTGAGCCCAGCTCCTGACAAGGTCACTTTTGCTGCCGCAGCAGCTGCTGCTGATGCTTCTTCTTCCTCGGCCAATCGGGAAAACGTCGTCTCCAGCTCCTCCGAGGCTGAACCGCGACCCTCGAGTTCCATGGTGCCTGAGCACATGCACAGCGCCCGCCGACCCTCGCAGACTCTCAACTACTCGGGCGGCGAGTACGGCTCCATATCCGATTTTGACTTTTCCGACACAAACCAGGCCTCGCCCAACCCGCTACCCCGACAGATCACACAGGATAAGCGCACTCTTAGCCAGCACAGCAACGTTGGCGCCACGCCCGGCGACGAGCGCGTCGTCTACCACGGTTGGCTGTACATACTCAAGTCAAAAGGCGGCGTGCGCCAGTGGAAGAAGATTTGGGTTGTCCTCCGCCCCAAGTGCCTCGCCTTTTACAAGAACGACGGAGAGTACTCCGCCACGCACATCATACCTTTTACAAGCATCATCGATGCAGTCGACATTGACCCCCTCTCGCGCAGCAAGCAACACTGCATGCAAGTCATATGCGAGGAGAAGAACTACAAGTTCTGTGCATCCGACGACGATTCGCTCGCAAGATGGCTTGGAGCATTCAAGAGCCTGCTTGTCAAAAAAGACGCGCAGCAGATGCGCATCTCCCCGCCAGCCACCAACACGGCAAACACACAACCGCCGCCTGTGCCAGCATCCATACCACAACCTGCTACTGCCACTGCTACTGCCGCGTGACCACCGCCCCACCCCCTTCATCACCACTGACCCCTTTCCTTGAAGATTCTGGAACAATGTACATATGCTGGCACCGTCCATAACCGCTAATAGCGACAGCACTTCTGCATCATCTCCTCGACCAAAACGATACCATCATGATTTACGATCGCAACCGTTAGCACCGCTGCCTAGATGGCGCGCTCCGTTCGATACCAGTTGGATAACCCCTTCTGCTTGATACTGCACATCACAGCACGTCTCAGTCTCTCTATCTCTCTCTCTCTCTCTCCCCACACACACACACATCTCTTGTTTCCTTTTGTCCTTGTAGTAAGCTTGTGCAAATATATCGCTGTACACTAGTAGTGTTTTTGTAATATCCAGCACGCCCTTGAGCTGGGCTTGAATCCTATTCCTTTGTTAGGTCATCAGTCGCTTTGCTGGGCATTCAGTTGATGATGGTATCGAATTGCATATTATTACTCTAGTAATTCATGTTCAGTTGTCGTGATTGTTGATATGATTCCTGGCTTAGCATCTCTGTCTGCATCGGGCCCCGTCCCGCGGGCGGCATGACATTTCGGACCCCACAGCACGCTAACTGAACGGCAACGCTAACAATCCATCCTGCAGCTATCAGCTTAGGACCCCTATGTCGCCTCAGCTCATCATGTTCGCTCTTACATTCTTCTTTCTTTGGACACCTTCCTGTTGTCCCTCAGATCTGTTCATGCATGGAGCCCGAGACAGACTCGCAGCGACCCGATAGTCGACAATCGGATGAATGGGGCCCTACCGCCAGCTTCCATGCCAATGACAGCAGCGATGAGAAAAGCATCATTTACTTGATCGATCACCTCGGCATTCGTTATGTCCTTCCTTTCCAACAATTCAGCTCCAAAGAGGCACGTCTACCATGTTACCTTTTGATGTTTTCCCTCTGCACACATACGTATACACGCAGTCATAACCCCCGCGCTTGTGTAACTACTGACCCGTCACTATACAGGGCGCCGAGCCTCTTTTGAGGGAAATATATGCCAAGTATGGGCAGTCTTACCTCGACAGAATTGCAAAGGACGACTATGTAATAAAAAGACGGGGTGCCATCATACTCCCTAGTGTTTGGTCTGCTATTGCGAGGCCTCGGATGCATCTCGACATCGAGTTTCCACCGGAAGAGGCTGACGCTGAGGTTGATTATCGTCGACGTCCATCGTCTCGTTCTCGCTCAAAGTCACCTGCAAGCTTCCAGCGAGACGTTAATCGAGTCATTGAGCGAGATATTGAGCGAGCCCGTCCACGTGACACTGACGATAACATTCGTGTCGTAACATTCGAGGACGACTCGCAATGGGCGCCGCCGGCCCCTCGTCAGGAAAGTGACCTTGCCTCCAATACTGATTCTTCTGAAAGCGCCACGTCAACGAGCGACCAAAATTCGCCTACAGAACAAGTAGACTCGCCGGAGCCGCCCCGTGAGGTGGTCGCTCCGACGGATGTCGATGGCAACCAGCTATCCTTTCAAGTCGACACGAGGCATGTACAGAACTTTACCGGATTCAGCCAGGACCTCCAGGATAAAAGAGCCGGCACGCAGACTCAGTCGAAAAGAAAAGAGGTTGACAACTATCGTGTCGAGACGTTTCGAGTCACTAAAGCCATGATCAAAGAGACTCAAGGGCAAAACCAGCTTCAGGTCCACATTCTACCAGGGCCCGAAAACCCTCACTTGCAAGATGCAGTATCATTTACGTGGTGTCATATTTCGGCGACTGAGCTGGATTTTGCTAATTTCAGGGATGTCTGCCTGACCATGCCACACGTCAGTGATCGGCTGCGCAAACTCACTTCGGAGATGCTTACCAAGGTGTACGCGGAAAAGGTCAAGCCTTTCGACGGTGGCATGTTCATTGAGCCTGGGGCGGTTTTGCGAGCTGATGAATCAGATCAGCCAGATCCGCAGTCTGTCATTTTCGCCTGCGTCCCATATTTTGCCCTGAACACCCAAGCCAAGAGGCTTCCCCGCGCCGAGAATGAACTATTTCCACAACGAACCCTAATGCAGACATTCTACCCCTACGAGCCAGTACGCGATCGAGATGAGGAACAGTCGTACCGGAGATTTGACGACACGCGCTCCGAGAACATCATACATGTACCGAATATCTGGTTTATGATCATAGGGTCCAGTCATGTCGTATCGTGTGGCCATGTGCCACTCCCCAAGGAGATGACAAATTCAATAGCCATCATCCAAGAGAACGTCCAAAAGCTCGGGGTTGAGCCTGTTGCAGACAATGATCTGACAATGATCAAATTTTCGGACTGGGGAGAACGTGATTTTGTGTTCCCTATTTGCACTTGCAGATCTTACTTTCAGATGGAGGCGAAGGTTCGCATGATTGGATACATCTTCAACAATAAGAGTTTGGATGCCGAGATCCATTTGCAACAAAGATTCCGAGACAGCAACCGCAATCTCACACCAAACATGTGGAGGGATATCACTATGCGGAATGATCTCCTTTCAATAAATTTGGCAGTAGCAAGAGACAAAGAAACAAGCCAAACTGAAAGACATCCTACCGCGGCATACAGCGCCGACGACCGTAACAAAAGCAGAGCCGTGTCGATACCCCCTTTTTTTCATTGGCCACAATACGGTGCTGGTAAAGCAGTCAAGAACGACAAAGACGCAACGTCAGTGGATGACTCCAGTGCACAGCAACCCTCTCGTTGCCTGGAGCAGGTTGGAAAGGCTCTGACAACTACGATTCTAGAAGGAATTACTACGAATGCTGTCGACGAAACATTTACCTCGACCAGTTACTATGAATCACTGCCCAAGGCAACCTACGCAGATGCTTGTGCTGACTTTGCCAATCTTAAACATCGATGCGAAGCAGTTGAGAAAGGCGTGGCCAATCCTTCATTCCATCAGAACACGATCAACAGCCAGCGCACTAGCATTGTGGAAAGAGCGACGGAATTTTTCAATCTCTCTTGCGTGATTACTAAGCTCTTCCTCAGTGACATGGATGAGAGTAGCGTAATGAGTAAGCTATGGGGTGTCATGGTCAAAATCCAGGAGCACGTCGCCAAACTCGAAAAGTACGACCCTTGTAGTGGGAAAACTGGCAAAGACGCGGTTCCTCCAGAGGACGATGTTGACACGACTGGCAATTCTTGGCTGGTCCGCCCTATGGCTAAGCCTAGCCTATTGTCTTTTCCAGAAAATACTCCAGGATTGTCCAAGTCAATTGCAGCGTGTAAGACATGTAAAAAGTTACACTCATTTCGCAGCCAAGAAGATGCGCTTAGACATCTGCAGCGCCACACCAACCGTGAAAGTGAGCCTGGGAAGCAGCAGAAGGCTACTGAGCCGAATGGCTTACCAGATGAACAAATTCCAGCCGAGGATGTCGCTATGGATCCGCAAGCCAAGGACTGGGTCATGTCATCGGCAGAATTTTGGCATGAGCAGACAAATGCTGGGGCACTGGCAATACTCACAAAAGCATGCACTCTGGCAAAGAACATAATGGAGCAAGCTCAACAACTCATGGACGGAGTTCAAAACGAAGATGGCCAGATGTCTGAATTGTATGCTCTGCCCAAGGAGCTCTCTGAAGCATTCCGCCGCATCATTGTCTTCTTCATGGCGACTGAGCGAGCTTTGGACGACGTCGACAAGGCCCATGGACATGAATATCGATTCAAAGATCCGTATGAGCGTAGCATCCTACCATATACGGACAAAGGCCTCGATGTGTTGGTAAGATTCGAGGCAGGCGCAATGCAGTCTCTGAGAGCTGCACGTGCACATTTGTGCGAAATGGCTTCTCCTCCCCCACCGCGACGTGTGATGGAGCACCTTTCTCTAGGGCCTCAGTATGTCTGTGGCGAGCTGATTAGGAGACTATTACTGAAGCCGCTTGAGAGGCATGAAACTGTGGGTGATTTGTATCGGGAGTATATATCGAGACTTGTAGGTAACTCCATCATCTATGCCTCCGAAATTTCAAGCAGCCAGCTTGACATGGGCGAATAATGCTTAGCTAACATGATGTAGCAATTCCAAGTCAACCATCACCCGAGTAAACGGCTCCTCCGTGATCTCAATCTTCTGCAAGAAGAACTCCAAATCCTTACGTCCATCACCATGCAGCAGATGAATCTTATCAAGAACTACATCCGTGTTCTCTACGACGGATCGTATGAGAAGCCAACACCATCTCGCCAAAGCATGTTTGTGGACGAGCTGAGTTTGTTTCAAAATTGCCTTGACAATCTCAATCTTGTTCTAGAAGATTACGAGGACCTGATTCGACGCTGCAGTCCCCTGGCCAATCGTACAAAGCAGAGTCTCGAGATCAATGATGAAGACCATGGCAAGGCTATCATGGCTTTCACGGTGGTGACTGTTATTTTTCTGCCGTTGTCGTTTGCGACGAGCTATTTTGGGATGAACACTGTGGATATCCGTGACATGAACCAGAAGCAGGCGATTTTCTGGATTGTGGCCATACCGCTGACTGTGGTGACGGTCGGGGGGTGTCTACTCATTGGATATAACGGGGATCAGCTTCGCGACATGATTGCATGGCTATATCGCAGGGCAATGGGCAAGGAAGAAACTGGTACTGGAGGAGGAGGCATAAGCGTTCCACGACGGAAACGTCCACCTCATTCACTCGGAAATTCAAGCAGTACACTTCAGTCTTCAAACATGGTCAACGAAGCCGCATTTGCTATTCCCCGGCCAGCTCTAGAGTGGGGCGGTGCAGCACACTCGGGTCCGACCTGGGTAGACGCAGACGAAGCCTGGTACACAGAACGGTATGACCCACCTATGAGCAAAACAGGACTCAGCTCTCGCCCAGTAGCTCGAATGCAATCTTATGCCGAACCCACCTCTATGGCCCCGGAGCCATCGTACAGAATACAGCCCGCTTCGTACAAGCAAAGTATACGCCATGACCGCGAGTATGTCAGAACACCCCGAACCATGAATTACGATCCCTATACCGAAGCAATAGGGCGTGTTCGCTACGACTACGGTGAAGAGGATACCTACGTGCCAGGTGCACGACATGTCTTACCGCCGCGCCAAACCTATGTGTCGCCTGGGTCATTTCGGGCAGAAATGCCGATTCGTAAGCCGTCTGTCAGGATATATGAGGCTGACGCGTTGAAAGATGATGAAGCGGGTGGATACACGTGGGAGAAGAAGAGGTCACATAGAAGTCATAATCACAACAGGCGCACGCACGGCGGAAGGGTTCCTGAGACAGAGGATGATGGTTGGTATCGGTAGAAGCAGTGTGTGCACGTAGTCGGAGATGGAGCGGCGGGCTCATTTAGAAAGACGAGGAGAAAGGCCGAATACGGAATGTACATGTGGATGTATGCACATGTGTGCATATATGTTGCCAAAGGGTGTACCGACAAGTGCAATGACACATGGTAGCGAGACAGTAAGTTGGAGGGGCCCAGACAGAGACAAAAGAGCCTAGTGCATCGGCTGATCGGCCTGGATATCCATGCACGCACATCAGTCTTTGCCCAGTGGGTGTGGGATGGCGTAGGGCGGACAGATGTACTGTCTCGAAGCAGGAGGCGCTACTGCCGGGATTTGGCTGGTCACGCAAAATGCCCGGTTTTGTGCTTTTGATTCCGCCCTTGACGTGTTCGTGCGTGTGTCTACTGGTGAGCTGTGTAGCGCGTGAGGCTAGAAGGGGCAGAGAAAGCCAATGAAGTCGGGTAGGGAGATGAGATTAGTGTGGACGCGACCGAATGGGTAGCGCGACGCGAGAACAAAGCCCAGTTGGTGCGGGCGGTGGTGGTGGTGGTGGTGCTGCAACACCAACGTCGTCATCGTTTTCAGCGGTGTGGGCGGCGAGAACACACGCTAGCAGCAGACGCTAGCACTGGCTGCATGCCAAGCAAAGCTTGGTATCCAGACATGTGGCGCATCGCCATACGGCTTGCAACCAAAGAGCAGCGTGTGTGCGTATAGTAATGTCATCTCGAGGGGTGCATAGGAAGCACAAAACCCTCATTGATACTGCGCACATGGTCCTGCAGTCCTGCATAGTAGTGCCGAAAGCAGGGTAGCGTCTGTGTGCAGCGGGGCGCGTAAGAAGTGCTGGCGGAAGGGGTGGCGCCACACTCGCATCGCACGGAATCGGAGAGTGTGGCTGACAGGTTCTTGTGCCATGACGCAACCTACACGCACCACATTGCATCGTCTGGGAAACCTGGCGCCGATCCATCCCCAAACAAAGACCAAAAGGTTCGTCATACCAGCCACGGCGGGCCTTTTGTATGTTGCCAACACACGCACAATTGTGGTTCTAGACGGCATGCAATTGCTTCAAGGGGCGTCGTGGTTGGTGGGTGGCGGCACGTCGCGTGGGCGTCAATCGGGGGGGCAGGAGGCGGCGAGGGATCGTAGCATAACATAGTTTTAGCATGTGCATGGCCTGGGCATGGCGGGCGGGCGGTAAGCAGAGTCGCGGGGTCAAGCAGGTTCACCAGCAGCCAGCAGCCAGCAGTTCCAAGCCCACAGCCCAGGCCTCGTCCCCAGGCGGGAAGCTACGACTGAGTGACGTAGTCGCTGCACTTCCCCCCCGTGTTACCCAGCCCGACTCACATACAAAGCTGCTTTTGTGCCCGCTGTCCGCCCTCATTTCCCTCACACACACACTCTCAACCAACTCTCAGATACCCATACCCCCCCCCCCTCTTCCTGTGACTGCAACTCCCTGCCTCACAACTGTCCATTGTTTTCCTTACCGCTTCTGCGTTTGTAATTTTGATACCCCACCTATACCCTTGATACCCACAGTCCGACCTACACCATGAGTGCCGTAAATCGTACGTCCAATGACCCCGCCCCACTTACCAGCTCAGAATATGTACACTAACACAATGCAGGTCCAGTGGACTTGAAGCAAAAGGAGAAGGATGTCAACAACAAGCTCCAGCTCTATGGAATCGTCGAAGGTATGTCGTCGCATGGACACGTGCCGTTGCTGCAGAAATGCTAATCAAGTACTGCAGCCTTCTCCAATGGCAAGGTGCCATCCAACAGCCAGATTGATGTCGCTCTCAACTCAGCACTCGCACACCGCGCACTCAACTCACCATCCAAGAAGCTGTCGCCCGAGGGCCAGAGCCTCGTCACAGACCTGAAGAACGTCATCGAACAGGCCAAGATCCTGCTGCTCACCAAGAACGAGGGCAACCTCCTCCAAGACTTCATCTGGCAGGCTGAGCACATCAGCACCGCTGGCGCCAACCGCCCCAATGCCCCTGTTGACAAGGACACAGCAAGGCAAGACGGCAACAATGCCCTCGAAGGTCTGCGTACCCTTGGCACGCTCCTCATCTCCAACGGCCAGTTCAGGAAGCTTCTCTCTGATGCTACTGTTCTTCTCCGCGACATGGCCGGTGATGCGGCCATGAACACGGCCAATAAGGTTAAGCCCTCAGAAGACCGTCTCAACAGGCTGGATGAGCCCGCCGAGGACAACACCTGGCACGACACCTCCAAACTGAACCGCGAGAACCTCCGCAACCAAGCTAAGAGCAGCCTGCCGTTTGGCAACAAGAACAAGGGTGACCTTAAGGAGGCAGCCAAGGATGTCAACCAAGCAGCCAACCCAGAGGGAGTTCGCGACCCCACGCACACTGCCGATCTTGCTGCCACCGAGGGCCAGACTGGTCAGAGCACCGGCATTGACGTTCGCAGTGGTGTCGAAGCCGCTAAGCAAAAAGTTGACGCAAACACCTCTGAAGAGGACAAGCAAAAGGTTCGCGCTCGCCGTGAGCAGCTGAACAACTACCTCAAGGGCAAGATGCCAGAGGAGCGCCGCGAGCAAACTAGATGGCGCCTCAAGAAGATGATTGTCGAGATCCAGGGTCACCAGGACTACCAGCGTGCGATTGAGACTCTTCTCGACCTCGCCGAGCGCTATTCAAGCCACGGAAGGATTTTGAGCCAGCAGGGCAAGGGCTCTGTGCAAGGTGCGCATCAAGACGATGCACTAACTACCGCTGAAGCTGACCTGAGGGTGCGTATCTAGGCTTTACTAAAGAGAATCAATGGCTGACCAACATGAAGACTCTCCTCGAACGTTTCGCCAACAACACGTCTTTCGATGACCTGATTGAGTCTATCAACCAGATCTACAAGGACGCCGACCGCGACCCCGAACTCAAGAACTGGTTCAAGCGTATCAACGCCTTCATCCGCAAGACCCTGCAGCAACAGGGCTTTGTACTCGAGGACAGCTTCAACGCTGAGTGGAACCAGCTCTATGATGATGGCCACCACTTCTTCCGTGACCGTTACCGAGGTCACACTGACCGCATTGCTGATGAGTTCAAGTTCATTGGCCAGCAGTTTGATGCCGACCCCCAGAACAAGCAGTTCGCCGAGTCTGTCAACAAGCTCTTCCGTGACCTTGGTCAAGACGAGAATGGCAAGACTGTCTTCAAGCCCCATCTTGTCAAGGACATGACTGACGTCATTCTTCCTGCCATCTTTGAGAATGTCCGCTACATTCCCGTCCCTCGCATCGAGTACAGCGATCCCATGGTGGACGCCGTTATTGAGAACCTTGTCATTGAGGGTGATAACCTCGCCCCCAACTCTCTGGAGTTTGGCTCGGACAACTACTGGCGCTGGGGTCGCAAGTCCATTACCAGCACCAACAAGAACAAGGTTATGCTCTCTGTCTCAGGCGTCCAGATGGACCTTAGGGACGTCTCTTACTACATCAAGCGCAAGCAGGGCTTCCCTTCCATCACCGACAAGGGTGTTATGGACATCTTCATGGGTGGCACCGGCTTCAGCTTCAAGGTTGAGATGGAGACTGCCGACAAGGCGCGCGAGCATGCGCAGACCCACTTCTTCAAGGTCACCAAGGTCGAGTCGGACATTAAGCACCTGCAGATCAAGATGAAGAAGAGCAACCACAAGCTCCTCTTCAACATGTTCAAGCCTCTGCTTCTCAAGGTCATGCGTCCCGTCATTCAAAAGGTCTTGGAGAAGCAGATTAAGGACTCTGCTAACCAGCTCGATGCTATCCTCTTTGACATCAAGACCGAGGCTGACCGTGCTGCGGCTGAGGCTAAAAACAACCCTGATCCTCAGAACATCCAGAACATCTACCAGCGCTACGCCAGCTCTGCCCAGCGTCGTGTCATGCAAGGCAAGCAGAAGAAGGAGTCTCTTAAGGAGAAGACCAAGGACACCAAGGTCAACGTGGCCGTCACCCAGCACGACTCCATCTTCAAGAACATCTCGCTGCCTGGAGGCATCTCATCCAAGGCTACCGAGTACAAGGAGCTTGCTGCCAAGGGCGACAAGTGGGAGAGCCCCATCTTCTCCATTGGATCTGCCAAGGAGACTACCAGCCTGCCTCAGGTTGGAAAGATCACTCGCAAGCCTCATGGTCGCGCGGGTGGCTACGGCAACCCCGGTGATACTTCCCGCGGTCTCGGTGCTTCGTCGGGACTGAACCCATCAGCCAACCAGTACGATAGCCAGTACACCAACAATGGTGGTCTTGGTTCTCAGCCAGGTCTCACCACGGGCAATCAGGGCTTGACTGGTGGTGTTCCTGCTACCAGCGGTGCCACTTCGGGTTTCGGTAATCAGGTTGACGACGCTTTCAACACTACCGGTTCCACTGGCTTGAACAACGCCGCTGCCATCCCGCCCACGACTGGTCAGACCGGCACTGCCGCCCCTGGCCAGTACAACACCACCTTTGGTGACCAGAACCCTGTCTTCCAGGGCCGCGCTTAGATGCATCTTCCCAAACAGTGATACCCGGTATGCTTAGGGGTCGCTCGTCACGATGATTGTCTTTTGTTTTTGCGTTTTGATCATGGATGATACCAAGATTACGTCACGGCGTATGAATAGTGAATGGCATGTTCTTCGGTTTCTGGTTGATGGCAAGAACGAGGAAGTGGCAGTGTGCCTGTAATGCGGAGGAATGGGGGAGGACCCGTATATTCAAAACTGGGTTATGAATAGTTTACGATTCCTTTCCTGTAATAATAACTAATACAACGATGCTTCAAATTTGGTACAGTCTGGATGTGATTGAGGAAATCACTTGAGTTTGCAGGTGTTGTTCGGCTCATATTGACTTTTGAATGATTCGCAATGGAGTTATAAAGTCATTGATAAGTGTGAGTAGGGATTTCTCTGTAGTCCTATATTGATTTTGGCTGAAGGAACGAGGTATTGCAAAGAGGGGAGTTGCGGGACTGCCAATACTCAGGCGTACGACAGTTTGTCTAAAACAAACCTCTGCATTTGCTACAACAGGTTATGACCGACAACAAAGTTCAATAGAAAAACAGGATTAATGTCGCCCGACCGGACAGACGGATTACCTCAGCTCGGTAACTGCACTAAGCCCCAAACAGGTGTATCTCTCCACCTTTCGGAAGCAACCAACACCGCCAGTACCCGGACCTGTGTGCCAATCATCCCCTCACCTTGTTAGCAAGCTCCGCTTCCGCACGGGAAAATTATGGAGATACACGTCATCCAAAAATGAGTCGGCGAGAGGGGCACGAGAGCCGAGTTCGCAACGGAGCAGAGAGTGTTTGGAGCGGGGTAAAAAGCTGGGTTGTATGTGTCGCGAGGGGAGCCGGGTATGGGGGGTATGGGGTATATAAAGAGGTTGTGCAAAGTACTTTCATGAACCCATTGAAGTGCAACAAGAGGATTGCTTGTTTGATTGGGCTTAATTGAATTATACACATAATGGCTTCGAAAGAATACAAGTTCCCAGCTTTTGATGAGGCGCCGAAAGTCGAGGGCATGGTAAGTTGGATTTTTTTGACATGTAGTATAGTTCTTGGGAGTAGGTACTTGAAAAGATACGAGGACTAATGCTAGATCTTTTTTTAAAAAGCCCCAAGGTAATCTCTGGGGTTTCTTCGACGAAGACGGTAAGAAAGATGAAGTAGGAAGTACGTCCGTCCCTTCTCTCTTTCTCTCTCTCTGCCCATCCCTCCATACCCTCGCAAACTAACCACCCACCCCCCAAAAAGCAATCAACCTCCTCACCCCAGCCGTTGTCAAACGCGCCGCTTCAGAAGAAATCCGCACAGGCCAATCCATCCAACTGGACTGGGAACTCCACAACGTCCAGTTCCCAGGCTTCAATCGCAAGCCCTTTTCCCAGAAACAAATCGACTTTGCCTCCTTCTCGGCCCTCTGCGCAAACGACGACGAACTCCACATCAACACGCAGGCAGGCTCGCAGTGGGATTCGCTAAAACACTTTGCGCATCAAGCGACGGGTATGTATTACAACGGGCTCACGCATGAGGAGGCGGCCAAGAGCGATCGGAATGGTACGCACAAGTGGTGTGAGCGCGGGGGGATAGTGGGCAGGGGCGTGCTGTGTGATTGGCTGAGGTGGTATGAGGAGGTGAAGGGGAAAAAGGCGCCGAGTGCGGTGTCGAGGCATGAGATTCCGGTTGAGGAAGTAGAAGAAACGCTCAAGTGGCAGGGGACGGAGGTGCGGCAGGGGGATGTGTTGATGGTTCGGACGGGGTATGTGAGGTGGCATAAGTAAGTTTTTTTTCTCCCTCTTCTCTCTCTCTCTCTCTATATTATCCTTGCTTTTGTTTTTCTAAATGAATGGAGGATTGATGGGGATACAGTACTGCGACAGAAGCGGAGCGCAAATCCGGCACCCAAGATAATAGCGTCGCTATTGGCCTGCAAGCCTCGGAGAGCACCGTCCGCTGGCTTTACGACCGCCATCTCGCCGCCATTGTTGCCGACAACGTTGCGCTTGAGGCGTGGCCCCCAAAGTATACGGATGGTTGGTGTTTGCATGAGTGGTTGTTGGTGCATTGGGGTACGGCGATTGGCGAAATGTGGGATTTGGAGAAGTTGAGTGAGAAGTGTAAGCAGGAAGGGAGGTATAGTTTTTTCTTGACGAGTGCGCCGTTGCATGTTAGGGGTGGGATTGGGAGTCCGCCGGGGGCTATTGCGATTTTTTGAGTTGAATGGATGAGAAGGCGGGTAAGATGGTGGTTGTACACAGTATTGGATTTGACACGGGTAAGGAACACGTCTGGTGAAGTTATATGAAACATTGTGTTGGTTGACTGTTGTTCTTATTCAGACTTATGTTGTTGTGTTCGTAATATAATATGATTCGTGATGAAGTACTTGGGCGTGAAGAGTAGTTTTGATCGTTTTATTCAGGGTCATAATTCAAGTGGATGATTGCCATTTGAGTGTTAGGTACAAGGGCTGCCACGGTACTCGGGTGTCTGGAGCTGATGTAGGGTTAGTAACCTTTTCCGTAGTTTGGTATCCGCGTTGTTTGATATGGGTACAAAAGAAAAAGAATTGGGGAGGCCAATACATGCGGACCTGTAGAATTGGAGAAGTAGGATCCTGGAGACGATACTTCCTTCGACATCCTCTTTCTCTCTCGTTGTCTTTGGCTCGTGTCCTAGTTTATGGTTCGTGGAAAGCGTAGGCTCATGAATTTCCGAATTATGTCATTAATATTGCGACTTGCGCTATTCGGTAGCTCTGCACATTTTTCGTAATTATTCCCAGGTAACAATGTATTCTTATTAGCTGTCAGAATTATGTCAGTGACACTGGCTTGTGGAGTAACATCAGCTATTATTACAATTATAGCACGCCTCTCCATACAATCATATCAGGCTAGCCGCGACTAAGCCTAGATCTGAAATTCCTCGATAAGGCGTTCACGCTACTGAGGCATTACTCGTGCAGGATCAGGAATGCCGGCCTTCGGTTACGCAGCGGGCGGCATGCACAGACCGCATACTATACCGTTTTGTCTCCAATAACCGGCTGCTTCTACCCTACGCAAGGCACAGCCTACTCAGCCAATCACTGTCGGAAACCCTTGTTGCTGATGACGCTACGGGAGGCCTTCATTTAAGATGAGCGGGGATGTTACAGATAACAATATACACTCTCTTCGGACTTTTCTACGTATATACTTGATACCCACACCTGGCGGTGCGACAGCCAAATACGTATCCTACTACTAATCCCTATCTGACTTGATCACAACACTAGACAAAAAAATACCGCAACTACGCGCAGCAACAACAAATCAACACATTGCCAGTCTTGCCTAAAGACTGAAATATCACCAACATGGGTTCTTTCCTCTCATCCGAAGCCCCCCCTCCCCGTTCAGCCAAAAACTACATCCTTTCCTTTCCAGAGGAGGACTTCCCCGAAGAAGCAAGCATAACCCCTGAGGATGTACAAGACTGGTATTCCCACTTCTTCGAAACCTTGTTCTGCATCCCCCACAAGAACGGCCAAAGCATACTTATTCTGGAAGCGCCCAATGATTTTATCGAGGACTCGCGAGCAAGGCCCGGTTGGGCGCGCAAACGCCTAAGGGGAGCGTATGAAATTCTTGGAGAGGGACACCCCAGGATCGTCCGGTACGTTGTTTGTCTCAGTGAATTTTGATGCTTTATATCTCACCAAGCTAGCTATCTTGGGCCATCGGAAAGCGACATTGGCGTCATTGTCGAGAGGCTCGAGCCTGGGCCTATTGACTGGACCTCGCTTCCAGCACTGACTGTGCCTCTCCCGCAAGACTTGTCAGAAAACGATCGCTTGCTGCTGAGCCTGTATTACCGATGGGCATTGCAGACGCTCTCAGCGTTGCAATTCGCCCACTCGCGATCCGTCTTCATTCGAAATTTTTGCTCGGAGCTTGTGTGGCTACGGTCGGATTTCTCGCTCGCAATCACGGGTTTCCTTGCTGCCTCGGCACCGCAGATTGAGGAGGAAAACAGGCAGGATGGTATTGCTTACGCGAGGGAGCGCCTGGAGGATCCTGAGCACCCGAACCCGATCGAGCTAGAAGAGTTTGATCGTAAGGTTAGGGAGGAAGGGTATGCACCGTGGCCGTTCAGTGAGGGCGAGTGGGTTATAGATGGGAGTGTGGGCGATGCTATCTACGAAGGAGAAGAGGAGCATGGGAGCGTGAAAGAAGACTTGTAAGTACCGATGATCTCGTTTCGACAAGTCCAATTCTAACTAGATATGAATCGCAGGTACTATTGGGCTATTTTCGTCAAATACCTCGTCAACAACGTCTTCGCAGATGCATCAGCGTTGCAAGATGAGGCGCCCGAGGAAATTGAAGATGCACGCCTGGGCACCATTATCGCCAATGCTGAGAGCGGTCGCTATAGGGACGCTGCTGAGGTTATGAAAGACGTCAAAGCCGTTGCTGCAAAGATGGGAATCAAGACTGTGGGTGATGACGAGGTCGATATTGATGGTGAGTGGGAAGATGTCTTTGAGGTTTGTGATAGGCAATTGCGTTTCCGCGGGGAGGAATGAGCCTTCACTCGAAGCTACACATCTATATTCATGTATGTAAGTACGAGGGGTCGTGCGAAGACAAAATTCATGCATTACTCTCCACCACACTACATCTTTTCTCCTCGTTCAACATCATTTACCATGGTTTTACGCGACACCAATACAATACGCGTAATCCGGCCAAAGACCAGTACAGTCACCGTTCAAAGCTGGGTTCAGCTGGTAGAGACGATCCAACGAGATGCCTGCCGCAGCCGCCATGTCGTAACAATAAATGCCAGCTTTCTGCAACACCCACTTGTTGCAGTTGGAAGGTATGCCCGCCTGCGTAGGGCCCGGTGGCGGCGGACGCGTATTAGTGGGCGTCGGCGTGCCCGTGCTCGGACAATCGTACTGGCCTTTCGATGCATTCCATGAGCACAGCGGCAATCCCGTGGATGTTGTCTTGGTCGCCGGCGCTGATGTTGTGACCGGGGCACGTCCCACACATACGTAGTAATCTGGCTGCAAGGTTTGGCAGTCGGACCCTACTGCGGGGTTCCAGGCGTAGAAGTCCGTTAGTGCAATGGAGTTTGCGTTGGAAATGGCCCAGCAGCCGTCTCCTGAAATCACCTTGTAGAATTTGGTGCAGCCGGCGGCCATGCCATCCTGTGATTTTATTAGTCAAAACTGATCGATTTTCGAATGCGATGACTTACTTGGATCGGCGTCGGCGTACCGCTACCGATAGGTACTTTTGTTGAAGTCGGACTTGGAGAAGCGTCACCCTCGGATTCAGCGAATATGCCAATCTCTAGCGTAGAAAGGCAATACTTAGTGCCCACGTTGAGACCGGTACAATCTTTTCCCACCGTGGGGTTCATTTTGAAGAAGTCAGCTACACTCAGCGAGCTGGGTAGATATGCTGCGCAAGTGTCTCCTTCAAAGACTTCTTGCCAGTATATACATCCTTCTATCTCGCCGGACGCTCGAGGAGTTGGTGGTTTGATTGCGACAGGTTTTTCTAATGAAGTTAGTCTGAAATCGCCACTACTTGTGGAAAATTACTGACCGTCCCAAACCGGAGTTGGACGTGCGATTCCAACACAATACGACACACTGACTTGGGCCGAGCAAGGATAGTCGTAGGTCACATTGTCAGCATTGACTGGGTTTTGATCGAGCGAGGGGTTCCAGAGCGCAAATTCCTCGCGTTCAATGCCGATAGCAGCTGCGATACTCCAGCAATCTGTTGACTCCGTCGAAGTGTCGTTGAGCCACATGTAGCTAATATTTGTAAGCTGCAAATTCAATCGATGATTTGACCACCTCACTTACGTATAACAATCTACGCGAGTATCGTTCGCCATTGGAATGATTGTTTGCTCCGGAGGAGCGACTGGGTCTGGATTGGGCGACAACGACGTCTTTGGACCTGCCGTGAATGGCGGCAGCGTGACCGTTGTCGAGCCGCCGTATCCAGGGTATGTGGTTATTTCGCCGACCGGTTGTACGCAGTACGACGCATTAAGCCAGAGGTTAGAACAGCTGACATCGATGAAGGGATTGAGAAAGTAGCTACTCGAGTCAGCGATCATATTTGCATTTGTGGCCGGCACTACGTACAAGTCTTTGAGTAATATGTTGAACTTCAATGTCACCGTCGAGCAATCGTCGCCTGCACCGACTCTGTAAAATTGACCACATCGCGATGTGACATTCGGCGCAATGTCTGATGGAGCAGGTCTTGTTGCAAAATTAGCAAGGTTTTGAGGGTTACTGAAGGCAATTTCACTCACACAGGCGTCGGGACAGCAGTTACGATCGGTTGATCAGGTATCGAAAAGTCTCCGTAAGGGTTACTGATGCAAAAGGTATCGCCAATGAAACGTCCCAAGTTACTGAAGGAATGAATCAGTACATAGCTTCTAATACCAATCTAGCATGTTTACCTGCAGAGTTGGTTGACGTTTGCATTCCAGGCTTTGAACTGAACGGGCGAGATACTAGCCTTCTTCGCTATCGAGTCGCACGTATCACCCTCGGCCAAGACGTAAGTTTTGCACTTGTTGGAGATGCATAGTTCGCCCGACTTTGGGAAAATAGTGGCATTGTAAGGTAGACCATTCGAGTTGAGCAGTTGCTCAGTGGACACTGATTGTGCTAGAGGTACAGACTTGAAAGTATCGGTTGGCTTGATAGTGTACGTAGTGCCGCTGCATGTGGCGGTCGGGAGCGAACTAACCATGTCAGTATTGCCACCGCGAAGAGGGGCGTGAAAACGTACGAACTAATCAACAAGGACGTAGCGATGCTAGTAGGATATCCAGTCGCTTGACATGACTTGGTCAACGATGCATAATTGTCTCGCATTCCTGGATCTACCGCGAACGGGGAGTTGACCTGCATCTGGAACGACCTGATGATGCATTCATCACATTCTGTGTCCGTGGTGAGGCCTTTGAGGTATGTGTTGCAGAACTGCCCGGTGCTTTTAATGACTTAGTAAGTGATAGTACCATGGTTGACTCTTGAACAACTTACCTCCGCTTCAAACAAGCCATGTTGTACGCATACAAGATGAATTCATCTGGATATGTTGGTACCCAGTAAGTATCCTCGTACTCATCATAGTACTGAGCACCAACGCAAGCACTTTTCACGTCGTCGCGAAGCTTGGTCAAGGAAGTAAGACATTTGGCCTGGCAGAGCTTATTGAGCGCCGTGTCATCACTAGCTGTGAAAAATGGATCTGCATAGAGCTGTCCTATGAGGTTGTGGCAGGTAACGTTTGTGCTGAATGCGGTGGTACATTCAGACGATGCGTTGGTTAAGCCAGATCCGATTGCAGGATGTAGTTGGTATGTTTGAGCGAATGTCTGACATGCGGTCAGAAGTACCACAGTAAGAATAGAGAGAAACATTGTTGTCTACGAAATGGACTATCGCAGCTGGCGAGGGGGAAAAGGCACATGCAACAACGCAAGTAGCGCGTTGACCTTCTACTACTACAGCCTCGCAACCGTCAGACACACACCCCACGACTACCAACGGCTTCTCGATCTAGATTGGCCCCCAACTCCAAAGTATGCAGGGACCAAAAGTTCGGCCGGACCAAGCCGTTTCACAATATTCATCCTTGAATAGTTTGCTCCCAGTTACATGGTCAGTGGGACGCCTTATGTTCTCGATGCAGAATACAAGGGGTCCATAGTGAGGAAGCAAATTTCCCTATAGTATCGCGGCAACTGTTTTTGCATCTAATACCTGGGTTCCTTTAGCCGTAAACCGTCCTAGTCCTAACACTACCTAAGATGGACCGATCGCAATCTCGCTAACTGGATAACAGGGTTACTATACGCTTCCTTGGCATGCAGGATCAGTCCGTCTTGGTACTGCATTCCTTTCACTTGGAAGACTACCGCCGGCTATATGGGGAAGGTGTACGACTGATTGCGACCTATCTCCGTCAGTACCATGGGTTGCAGACTATCTTCAGTGTTTGATCCTGATCTAGGATCCTGCTATGTGGGCGCGCGAAAAGTGAAAAAAAAAGATCTTGGGGCTAGATCTCCATCCGTCTCGCAAACTACCCACAATATGATCTGGATGTCTTCACTACCATAACACGACTCGAGTACTATTTTCATGGCGTCTGGATACTATCGCCAATTTTCACGGGTACCTGCATCCTGTGGCGAGGTAGCCGCAGGGTAAACTAAGAATAGTAAAGGGCCCCTCGGGTGTGCTCCATCCCTCCCGCTACATGCAGCCGCGGACCCTGTAGACTGATACCCTCGTGATACAAGGCGTAAATGTAAGGCTTCCCATAATTCATATACACTATCGTTTTCAATCTCCAAACACGATATCAGACGAAGCGGCCCCTTAGACAAGCATCAATGGTGGGCACGTTCCATGATTATACCCCCAAAACTTACCCGCATCCCTCGACTAGCAAGGCTAAGAGCCTAGACCGTTGTTTGTGAACTATTCTAATGCAGGAGAAATGAGCATATCCAGTTAGCAGGCGGAGTAAAGTATCCACTTGCTTCACATAGCATGTATTGAGTCCCCCTCATTTTGCTCATGAATTGACCTCATCTTTTGCAAAATTGTCTGCTGCTGATGAGATAACCACATGTTTACTTCGTTCTGACTTCCCAGAGTTACATGTGAAGATGCATCTTCTCGCCAACTCTTCCTTCTTATCTATTCTCGTTGGTCTCTCGTACCTGTCATTGGCAGATGCTTCCCATGACCATCGGGTTATCACACACCGTCACCATCGGAGGCATCTTTTACAGGACTCCTTAGCGTTTGGTACTGTCCCTCGCGTTGGCGGTGCTGTAGATTCTTCAGGCTTTACATTTCGCGAGCCTGTTGCTTTGTTTGCACGCCAAAGTGCAGGCTCTGGAGGTCAAGCTGGTGGTAGTGGTAGCACGGCATCATCTGGCGACTACACGTGCGGTCCTGGGCGACCATGTAAGAACGGTGCTTGCTGGTAAGTTGCCCTCATTTATGGATTTCTCTATTTTATAAAAAGTGTGTTAACAAAAGCAGCGGCGCTTCAGGTTGGTGTGGGTATGCACCCAAGTTTTGTGGGACTGTAAGTCAGCATCGCTCCGACTCTATCATACAAGCTAACGACATGGAACAGGGCTGTCAGTCAAACTGCGATGCGAAAGCAGAGTGTGGCCAGTATGCCAAGAAGCCAGGTCAAACATGTCCGTTGAACGTTTGCTGCTCGTAAGTCTTTCCTGACCTCAAAGCTAAATTAGCTAATCGTTTTCCAGAGAACATGGCTTCTGCGGAACGACATCGGATTTCTGCGGCAATGGTTGCCAGAGCATGTGCAAGCAGCCTAAGCCCAATGCTGGGAGCAGCAACTCTAGGCAGGTGGTTATTGGATACTACGAAGGATGGAATATGAACAAGAAGTGTGGTAGCATGACACCAGAAGAAATACCGGTGCACAGCCTCACTCATTTGATCTTCTCCTTTGGCTTCATAGCACCTGGAACCTTCAAGATTGAGCCAATGTCGGATTTCCAGCCCTCTCTATTTGGTCGAGTGACAGACCTTAAATTGAAGAAGTCGTCACTCAAGGTCCTCATTGCTCTTGGTGTAAGCATCCGCCGTCTGAATATGTACTCTTAACTGATATAAACTAGGGTTGGACCCATAATGATCCTGGTATGTTCATTTTTCAATGCGGCCATTATAACTCAATCCGTCGCTGACCAGCAAACAGGCAAATACCAAAAGGTGTTCTCTGACATGGCTGCTAGTGCAGCGAATCGCAAGACTTTCATCTCGAATCTCATTGGATTCATGGCCGAGTATGGCTTTGATGGTGTCGATCTGGACTGGGAGTAGTATGTGCCAATATCTTCAAAGAAGGAACACATGCTGACTATACAACTTCCGCCAAAGCCCTGGTGCGCCAGATCGAGGTGGCATTCCTGAGGACGGCGAAAATCTTAACAAGTTGATGAAAGAGATGAAGGATGCCATGGGATCCCGATACATTCTCACATTCACAGCACCAACCTCGTACTGGTACCTGCGTCATTTTGATATCAAGAAAAGTGCAGAAATCGCCGACTGGATTAATCTCATGTCGTATGATCTCCACGGGTATGTATCGTCATGATATTCCACCAACATTGCCAATACTAATGGAACGTAGAGTGTGGGATAGCGACAACCCAATCGGCAATCAGATTCTTGGCCATACCAACTTGACTGAGATTGATCTCGCACTCGATTTGCTTTGGAGGAATGATGTTTCGCCTTCAAAAATTGTTCTCGGTACGGGTTTCTATGGTAGAAGCTTTCGTCTCGAGGATCCAAAGTGCTGGACTCCAGGATGCAAGTTCAGTGGGCCTGGAGAGAAGGGCGAATGTACTGCCACAGAGGGGTTCCTTTCCTACAAAGAGGTAAAAGACATCCTGGCAAAGACTAAAGCGAAGCCCAAGTTAGATAAGGATGCGGCCGTGCAGTACCTCACGTACGGACAAAACAGCTGGATATCGTATGACGACCCGGCCACGATACAAATGAAGGTCGACTTCGCAAACAAACGCGGCCTAAAAGGACTCATGACTTGGGCAATCGATATCGACGACGAGAAGGGCGACCTCATCCGAGCGCTGACAGGGGGTGAACTCAAAGAAGGAGAAGATCTGCTCCAGTTCATGACCGACAACGGACCATCGATTGCACACGGTACGGCTGACGGCACGAAATGCAAAATCACTGAATGTGGCTCAAAGGGCGTAGAGCCAAAATGTGAGACTGGTTATACAATGGTGGGTCGTGTCAGCACGGACAACAATGGGAAGAACAGATGCAACACTAAAAACCCCAAAGAGGCTCGCAAAATATGCTGCCCTTCGTTCGCCGGACCTCAAGAGAACGATTGTCGGTGGGATGACAGCCACTCCACATCGGTCAAGAAAGATTGTTCCGCCAAGTGTAATGTTGGAGAGATCAATGTCATCAATGACAGCTTTGGTTGGAAAGGAGATCTCATAGATGGATCATACGACTGGCAGTGCAATCGAGGCTGGAAGAGCTTCTGCTGCAAAGCGGGTAATATGGAGCGCTATCTGAAGATCTGTACCTGGACTGAATGCGACAAAAAGTGCCCATCAGACAAACCTTTTCAGTTAACTACCGATACTGGTGGGCCCAAGGCAAACAAGCGATGTGGATGGGAGGGTGCAGGAGATCCTTTCAGTGGCGAAGGTACCGGATTTCGGAGGCTTTGTTGTCCTCGCGCAAACTCTTTCGGCAACTGTAACTGGGAATCGTCTAAAGTCTGCTCTAGCACCTGCGCCCTTGGGAAGATAACCCTGGATCTCGATCCGCGTGGACCGGATCCACGAAGTAGCTCATGTCATAACGGGCGTGAACAGGTAAGTGAACAACTACGTGGGTTTGGAATGAACGGAAAACTGATATTGATGTTTCACTATGATAGGCATTCTGCTGTGAGCCGATCGGTGGCTTTGACAGGCCTTTTGCGCCTTTCAATCTCGAAAATCTTTTCCCAGAAGAGTACCTTCCTCCTGCTGATGCGATCCCGAACTACGATCTCGTAAACTTTGGCGCCCTTCACGGGTTAACTCAAGAGCAAGATCCGGACAAAACTGGCATAGCATTCTTCCTAATTGCTGGTCATAGCAGCGCTGTGTCGTCCATGCGGAAGCGCGACAATCCAGGACTGGAGTTCCTCGACTGCCCGCATGATGTACTGGAGAGACCGAACCATGAAATACAAACGGCACGCATCGTATGTATGCACCAAAATGTAACCGACTGCTTTCGGGTTGAAGAGAACGGCGTTGAAGGGACTATTGTCCACATGTAAGTGCTCCTTCACAATACTCTCACGTGAGTTAAGCTGAGCCTTTACTCCCTCTCGCAGGCCCGATGAATGTGGAGGACCTTCTTGGTCCCGAGCAGTCTCTCTCACCCCATCTCTGAACCAGTCTCTTCCCAGAAATGTTGCCAAACGCAATCCCACTTCCATCGTCTACGATTTCAAATTTGATTACAACATCGGCCTAGTTCGGCGAGACGCTGGAAGACTCAGCATACGCCTTGATTACTCTAATGTGCCAGGGTACTGGTACGCTGTGGTGGACACTCCCGGAGGCAGTCAGAAGCGAGACCTGAAATCCCTAGTCGACAGATTTTTTGATTATGGTAACACAGAAGCTTGGTACAACCGGTTTAACAAGTTGGGTTTCTATCCAGGAAACTCTATCAAGATTACGGAAAAGCTGGATAGGCTTGTGTACCATAATGGGGAGACATGCAACTACGTTGACAAGCCCGTTGATGAGGAAGGAAAACTCGGAGAATCACTCAGCATCGCCATGCAAGGATCTTCCAGTATTGAGCTACACTACGGTTTCTCAATGATCGCGACCTGGATACCCGGTGCTAATTTCAACGTACATCAAGCAGCAGGCTTTGTTCGCCCTCAGGGGAAAACAGACGTTTCGTTCAGGCTGGGTGGGGAAGGTATTCTCGACACCTCCAAGTCTCTTATGGGCTCGACAATCACAAAGAAGTTTGGCGAAACGGGAGTAGCTGGACACTCGCTTTACAAAGGTTGGGCCTTCTTTACAGCGTACAAGGAGGCCAGCGTCGATCTAGCAAGCGGAGATAATGTCGTTGGCGCTGTACCTTTTAGTGGTTACGCGGAATCACGGATCCAAAGTAACTGGGGACTTTACAACGTTCATTTCCCTGCAGGAGCCACCATCACTCCATCTACGGGCACCGGAGAAGGCAGCAGAGTTGGAGATGAAGTCAGCAAGAGTAGCAACAATAAGCTTAATGCACTCTCAAAATCGAAAGGGTGGATCGAGGTCGGTACGACAGTAAGAGTAGGACTTATGGTGGGCATGTCATTCTCGAAGCCTTATGACAAGGTTGTCGGCGACCTACCAGACATGTCTGTTTCTCAGCGAGTCTTCTCAAGATGGAATCTTGAACATACCGGTACAGAAAGCTGTGTTTCCACAAGCCTTGGCACCAAGATGAGGAGTCACTTGAAGAGAGGCTCCACCGCTTGGAGTACTTCCACGTCTGATAAGTTATACGTGGATGACCTGGCCGCAGCTGGTACGAAGCAATGTTTCAAGGACAGTGGCCAACCAATCAGGAAGCGGGATCTGGAAATTGCTCAGAATCTGACCAAGCGAGATGGGTTCGAGGACGGAAGGCCTGACTGGGGTGATATTCCCATGCCAGGCTACAATCTCGGCGACAATTTGTTCAATCAAATGCTTCCTGTACTGCCATGCGAAAATTGTGCAAGCTGCACACTCCGAAATCCATTCAGGGAACCATGTTGTGGCTGCGTTTGTCTAGGCTGCAAGTATGGACTAGGACCGAGAGGGCGAGACGAGGGACCGCTTGGTCCGTACGGCGATAGCTCAGACATTGGCTCGATTTTCGGAACAAACCTCTTGAAGCGCGATCTAACTGAAGATGGTATGCTCAACGCCACGGAAGGAAGCCTACATCAACTCGAAAAACGCGTCGGTCCGGTACCGAACCAGGGCAGCAAGCCATGCAATATGTGTAGTCGAACCGAAAGGATCAGATATCCTGCATTCCCAAACTTCAAGCAATTCCCAAACTCACCAGTCAACTTTGACCTCTACCAACCTCAGGTTATGAAGTACTACCACAACTCAAGTGCATCGTGTACGAGCTGGGCAGTCCGACAACACGCATCAATAGATATGGTGTACGACTCTACAATGAGAAATGGCCAAGTTGTAGGCATGCGTAAAGGATTCTATCAAAGTAAGCTATCAAGTACTGTGCGAACGCGGCAAGGATGTTCTAACAACGATCGTAGCTGAGCATCCATACGAGGCCCAGTCTATTTCGATGTTCTTTGAAGAACACCTTAATAATTATCTAAATCCCGGGCGACGCGACTGTGCATGGATTAGGACGAACATTGTCGACAACAAAACCCCATACAACGGCGCAACTAACAGTATTCTACAGTTGATGATGCAAGAGTTAGGTACCTACAACAGACCTAACCGTCTTTCCGTGTTCATGGCGCGTTCAAACAGAATGAAAGGAACCTTAGCAGGCCATAATACAGCTGCCAACGTTGATGCATTCGATGGTCTGCAAGCTGGCGATGAACAGCTCATGTACGTCAAAGACTTCGGTATGATCTTCGCGTATTGGAACATACCCGAAATCTGGAACTCCTTCTGCGACAGCTACAACGGCATGAGGGATGTCCTCATCAACTTCGATCGGAGTTGGAACTCCGCACATCAGACCGATCAAATTGATTTAGCGGGCCAATGGGCCTCTTGGAATCGAGACAATTTAAGGATCATAGCGACGAATGGCCGGACTCAAGCAATGAGTTTGTACAATAGGAGGAAGCAGATTGGGGGTTTGTATGGCACATGGTGGACAGCGAAGTGGTGGACGGTGTTTCAGTTACCATTTGGACAAAGTCAGTACGACTATATCAAGTTAGACAGGTCGTGTAGGAACTTGCAGTAGAAGGTGTATAGGTATACTGGTTTTGAATTGTCTCGATAGGTGTTTATAATATGCTCTCTTATGCAATTGCGAGATACCAACTCTACGCCCATATTTCTTATACATCCAGCGCTGCCTAGGCAAAAATATACTACTTACTATCGGTAGTATATGCTTTTGATCTTTGTTTATATTTCATTACCTATACATAAGTTTTGAATTATGGTGTAAAGAAATCTTTTCCTATTCGTACGTAAGAGATGACTTAAGCACAAGTATTTAAGGAGTGAATTTTTCGCTCCGAAGGTATGTCACGTGACAGTAGATGTGGTTGGTGGTGGCAGAGGGGCGCCACAACTTCTACACCAACACCTTAAACAAAGGAGGCTTGGTTCACACCCTTGAAATCACCATTACTTCTCACAGTAATGATACGAACCAAGAGAGCAAGCCAGCGGGCGCGTTTTAGTAGGAGTTGAAATACAGCATTATATGTTTGTGAGCAAACACATGACTATACGTGGCACTTCTGGACTTACACAAGGAAAAGCCGTTTATAATTGTGACTTTTCGATACTCTAGAGTCAAGTACTGTCAGGTATCTGGCCTAATACAGGCCTATATCAGAAAATTAGCAACTCCATAATTCAATAACACCCACCACTCGATTCTCCACTCGAGGTAAGAAACGGAGGCGTATCCTTTTAAACTAGTGAGACAAACAAAATATATACAACCCGATACACGATATCCTAGATCCTGTATATAACCTGATTATCTATATTCCTATTATCTCCTTCTCTAGCATAAGAGGCAGCTAACCCTCTAGATCTGAGCAATCATTATCAGTCACAGCACGACCTAAAACTGGCCCAAGATCTGGTAAAATCGATTTCTCAGCAGAACGACAGCACATAGGCTGCCTTCCTTGGCGGTATTCTTTGCCGCCTTCTTTTTCTTCACGTTCCCCACCTTTTCCGCCTTCTTCGCCATCTTCGTCATCTTCGCTTTCTTCTTCCTTTCTGTGTCTGCGGCGCTCATTGCCATGTTTGTGTTTGTGGCGTACTTTGCCTTCTTCACGGTCTTTTCTGTTCATATATTTACAAGCGTTCTTAAAATCCTCCATAGAGTCAACTTTCCCAGCTAGAACGGTGTTAATAAGCAAATGTTTACGAGATCATATGGATGCTTAGTATTTATAGAGAAATCATAGTCAGGGATTCGGCAAAAGTGCAAACGAAGCTATGGATTATACGAGAGATTACGTACGGTATACACAGGCTACAACGGCACCATTATCATTAACTTCGCAGCACCGCGGATACTCAATACCAGGGCAGACATTAGTATTGCGTTTAGCAGTTTCGACGCGGTTGGGTACGATTGTGGCGGTGGTGGTCAGACCTAAAAGGGCAACAGTGGTAAAGAGAGTGGATCGCATAGTTCTTGTTTTTGTAATAGTGATGGCAGTAATGATTATTGTTGTTGTTGTGTTTGTTATATTAGGTAAGAAACTTGTTCAGGGAAGAAGAGGGTGACATTTATCTTTTTTGTAACGACCAAGTACAAAGTATAGAATAACTCTACTCTCTTAGTACTCAACACTCACCACTCAATACAGTGCACTGAACACGTAGAACTGAACATGTAGCATTGGAAACTCAACGCTTAGCACTCAACACTCAACACTTTTTATGAGCTAGTACATCTTAGTAACTTTCCATCAAGTAATCTCGATATGAGATCCAAAGCAAAGCTCTTAGGCTCCTATTAGGTATCCCTTGGGCTAGCCAGTGTCGGAAATAGCTGACTATACATACTGCCATGTGAAGGGTCATCAGTACAACGCTAATCACTCGTACCTTTTTGGTTGTAGTAGCCCTAAATCAAGATTATGTGACACTAACTGTCACACGCGTATAGCTATTTAGTTCCATATACTACCATTTAGTATACTGTCTCTTTCGTGGTACGTGCTGTCGCACTCACCGATTTTTCTACTATATAAAAAGAAATGCTACACCGCTTCCATATAAAACAAATATTGCAGATCTTACCCTTCCATTTCTAGTAAGTGAATAGCTTCGCTGTATCCACATAAAAAAAACAACAATGAAAAAAAAATCTTTTGGAATCATGAATAGGAATAATGATACCCGAATATATAAATGTACTTATGATATAGTGGAGGTAAGTTCTGTATCTACACCGGAATAACGTTGAACTCCTTTCAATCATACTCCATTTCTGAAACATGAAGTTTTCCATCGTGAACATAGCTCTGATGATCTCTATGGTCAAAGCTACGCCAGCTATCACGCATCAAAGCACTAAACACGGTGTTAAACTTGCATCTCGCGCATGTGTTAAGGTAAGAACAAGAGAAATACATATCGACTAGAACGAAAAGTTTCTCATTAGAAATTTGAATAGTCTTTGTCGCCATGCGATCGCTTTAGTATATGCTGTCAAGGGAATTGTATATTTACCGATCCGAATCAGGCAATTGGTATTGTAAGTGGTTCCAATAGGAAGATATGTTATTGACAAGGAATCTGATCTTCAAAGTGCTATGGTTAGAATTAGGTTAACGTTGAGGTACAATTAAAGTACCAGAGCGATGGGGTTGCAGTAGTGAAGAGTATAAGAGCTCTAGCAAGTTCCTTGAGGAAGTCTGCTTTCGTATGTAGCTCTAAGTATCAGGGTTTGAGACATTTCCGAGATATGTATATAAGAAGGCGCGGGTAATTTTAAAGATGACCTCAATTTGATCTCTAAGGTGATTTTAAAATCAGGGTTTCGAGAAACACTACCAGGACCTGGTATTGGCTTAAGATTAAAAGTAAGTAGATATACGTGTGTTGCTACAAGTGCAAAATGCAAAATGTGGCGCTTATCGATAAGCGTACCCCCGAGGTGGCTTGTGATGAAGGCTTTTCCTTTTCTTCCTTGCATGACAGTGACGAAATAACCTGTCCAATTGAGCTATTGCACTGCATCTTATCCTCAGTCTCTGGTTGATGCAAAATTTGAGGCGACTGCCTGTCTCGCTTCCGAGGCAGTTCCCATTCCGCGTGCCAACACGTCCTGCCCCGCAACGCTTTTGTCGCTGCGCTTTCGCCATGGACTTGTCAATGGATGCCACCGAACGCGTTCGTATGTCTTTCACATGAGTTTGAATGGGTCTGGCTGATAAGGAATGTAGAAGGGTTCTGTGCAGCATGACACGCACGCCACCCCACCACAGTTCATCCAAAAGGAGCACTGGCGCTACCAGAGCATGCGCAAAGCCGACTTGGAGAATGATCCAGACATCTTTGACCTAAGCAAACGCAATCAATTCAGCGAAGATTGGAAAGACATTTGGCGTCCTGCCGGTGCCATTCCAGCAGCTCAGATTGAAGCTGCTTGCATGGCTTACGCTGGCGGTGAGCCATTATCAGCACCAGTACAAGACGCGCAAATCTTTGAACATCGTGATTTCCCCGGTCTTCAAGTCGTCTCACAGCTACTTCCTCCTGAGACTCAGGTTTTGTTCACATCATGCTTGATGCACAGGGATCTGGCTGACCCTGGACATAAAATCAATCTCCAAGCCGATTTCGATATCCCATACCCCCCCAAACCCACGTCCGAGCCCTCGCGATTTGACAGCAACTTTTTTCTTCGCGACCGGGCAGCTGAGCCGGACTGCCTCATACCAAAGTCACCTGACAAGCAAAAGCCATTAAACAACGAGCAGTTTCTTTACTCGAAACTTCGATGGCTCACACTCGGTGAACAGTACGACTGGCCGACTCGCAGTTACGCAAAACATGCTACTCCATTCCCTGAAGACCTATCAAGGCTAGTAACTGGTCTTTTTCCTCATATCCGGCCAGAGTCTGGCGTGGTGTTAATGTATTCAGCAAAGGATTTCATGCCTGTACATCGCGACGTAAGCGAACAGTGCCAACGTGCGCTCGCGAGCTTTAGTGTGGGTTGCGACGGCATTTTTATCATGGCAAAGGGCGAGGATGGTGGACAAGGAGAGAATGCTCCGAGGAGCGTCGCTATTCGCGTTCATAGCGGCGACGTCGTGCATCTAACAGGCGATGCACGATGGGCTTGGCATGCGATGGCTCGCTGTATACCAAGCACATGTCCGCCTCATCTTGCCAGTTGGCCAGTCGGCACTCCTGGAGCGACGCCAGCGGAAGAGAAAGCGTACAAGAAATGGAAGGGATATATGAGCACAAAACGCATCAATGTTAGTTGTCGCCAGGTGTGGGATTAGGGAAACGAATGGCAGAGCAATCGTCGCAGCAATCTTCTGCTTTAAGCCTGATTTTGGTGTATGGATACAGCCCGCCATTGTCCTTTTCAAAACTTACTAAACGGTGTTTCAGCACAACGTGCCAACGGGTCAAGGTCTAGGCGTCTCCAATGGCCTCCAACTTTCAGCGTCCCCACTGTCAGATCTTACCATTAGTCGCTTGTAGATAGGCCTGACATGTGCGCCTGGCGAGTCAGTTGGGTTTGATACAGGGACCTGTCTTTTGAACTTTACACGCGCCGTTATTACCCCAGTGTGTGGTTCGGTGCCGGACTGGTTTTTGCAGTCGCGCTAGCCACGACCCCCATCTAGACCCTGGTGACGTTTTGCCTACCGAATGGTAGCGGGTGGATCAGCAACCACCCTAACAGCCACATAATGCAACCCTAGTCACTTGTTTTCCTGACTCTTGTTTATCGGTCAACGCCTCGACCCGCCGTGAACCCTTGTTTCTGCTCCTGCTCCCGTGTTGAGATGCGTGGGTTCCTGTCGCTCTGCATGGCGCTATATCAAGCCACCCTGGACTTTTGTAATCATGGATGGGTGTGCGAATCCATCAAAAGTGGTGGTTTAAAGCTAATGTTTCCCACACTGACCTGTCCATTTTGTTCCTCTTGCCACTGCGACAATTTTTGTTGGACTGAAGTTGTTCAGTCTACTTCCGATTTACTCGTCTGTCGCAGTGTTCGTTTTAACCATTTTGTTCTTCAAAAGCATCAGGCGCGATGGGGCTTCTGAATCTGCCTCAATTCCGCTACCATGGACCATGGGTCCAAATGTTGATTGCTGGCCTGGGGGTTGGCTCTTCCGCCGGCATTTACGTTGCTCTGAACTTGCTGGGTGCTGGGGGCGGAAAGCCCGACTCGGCCCAAGTTGTTCAGGTTGTCAACGCGACATTGTGTGCAGGTAAAAAAGGGCCAGAACTTTTCGTCTCAGGCCGTTGATAACAAAGATAGTATGGTTCTTCTCCTCTTCCTTCGGCGGCTCCATCTTGAATAAACTCGGGCCTGGCCTTACCATGTGCATCGGCGTTCAAACTTACGCTGTCTACGTCGGATCGCTGTGGTACTACGATGAGACTGGCAAGACCGGCTATCCTTATGCCGCTGGCCCCATCATTGGAATTGGCGCGGGAATGGTCTTCATCACTGCCGGATACGTTGCGACTGGGTATCCGGAAGAGAGTGAGAAAGGATCCTATGCAACCATTTTGATGAACATGCAGGCTCTTGGCTCTGTCATCAGCAGTATCATTCCCGTGATCATCAATCGAAACTCTGAGACTGTCGCTGGCGTTCCTCGGTCGGTATATATTTCATTCATAACTATCATGGTCGTTGGTGGTTTGCTTTGCTTGCTATTGCTTCGACCACACAGGCTCACAAGAGACGATGGGTCAGTTGTAGCCGTTGACCGCCCAAGAGGGGCTTGGGATGAGCTGAAAGCAAATTTGCTCGCATTCACGGACCCAATTTTGGTCCTGATGCTCCCCGCATTTCTTCCGTCGGAAGGCTTTCTCGTGTACAGCGGGTCAGTGAATGGTAAGTGTCAGCTGTACCGCCATTTTACATGCTGCTTACATGCTTCCAGCGTTCAACAACAATCTTCGCACTCGATCTCTCCTGTCGTTCATTGCTGTCGTCCTGCAAATTCCCGCGGGATGGGCCCTACAATGGGTTCTTGACTACCCAGGCTGGGGCCGACGCAAAAGAGGACTGGTTGGGCTGACTGGTGTTTGTGTGCCTCTTGTTATTGCGTGGGTATGGGAAATGGTACATCATCTACTCTACATCTATATACAACCTGTTAACACCAGCCAGATCCGCACTCGCAATTACGACCGCAACCATCCTTCAAGTCACCCCACGGATTGGGAAGACGCTAAATTCGGTTGGGTCTTCGTCCTCTTCATGCTCACTTGGGTCTTTTCCCAACTCTGGCACAACATAGTATACTACTGGATTGGCGCATTGACCAACTCACCGCAGAAGCTCACACACTACGTGGGCATCTTCCGTGGCGTACTCGGCGCCGGTGAGGCCATCTGCTTTGGCCTGGACAGCATCAAGATCCCATTTATTGCCGAGGCAGGAGGCATATTGCTTTTCTATGTCATGGGCATCGCAAGCTTCTATTACCTGGGCGTCTACCACATGACGGACACGAATTACGACAAAACTGAGGAGGGCGCTGTGATTCCGAACCACATTCTAGAAAGAGACGGCCTTGCGCCTGTGCAGGAGATACGCGAGCGTACAAAGGACCCACTGCGTAGTGGTGACAAAGTTTGATAGCTCCGCATACTGGAGCGCTAATGACTCGTTTCTTTCCTTTTCTGATAATACACTACTACCAGAGATTGTGCATATTATGATTGCTCGGAGATCCTTTTCCATACCTTTCACGCCAACATGATAGACGATATGCTTTTGCCACGCAGCTGCACCCAACTCTACACAGCCTCCTTCGCGAGTCTACGTTTCCACTCTTAACCCAACCAATCAACCTTGACGCACCAGCTTCACGCCTCTGCACAAACAATATAGTACCACGCCAATGCTACGCGTTCCTTCGACCCAGTCAAATCCACATCTGATTATCCGCACGTTACTATTCGCCTCCGCGTTGATAACAAGGGGACCAGCACGCCGTTTTCCCAATACCACAGCCTGCAGCTCTCATGAATCGTCGGCGCATCTGAACTCGCATATCCATACAGGCCTAATCCTCGTCTACACATGCACCTACTCGACGCATAGCCCTGGCCCTTAGCACCCGCAGCCCACCCGCCTTCGCCCTATCTATTCCCCGAGGGGCGCAAAGACCCTCACATCCATGCTCCTTCGTTTCTTTTTTCCTCTAACAACGAACAACACTCGCGATACCCGGGGGCTGCGAGGGAAACTGGGCATCCACATCCACGCCACGGACAATGCACCCCTAGTTTGCCCCACCTACTGCCCGCCTCGCCTCGCCTACACTCCACGGCCCGTCCCCCGCTTCAATCGCGCTACTTGTACTTATCAAACGTGCTGTGCGCACCTTGCGTATCGCAGGCGAGTACGGGGGTTGGCGGGCGATCGCAACAGAAAAGGGTTGCGTGGTGCGAGAAGGAGTGCAGATATTTGCGTTGCTTTGTGCGAGAGTGATGCATAGATGACGTAGGGACGTGTGCACGTACAAAACTGCCGGCATTGAAGGATGCAGATGTGGAGTGTGTATGTGTGTGTGGTTGGGAAGTTGTTGCATCGGGAGTATTGGCGTTTGCGTTTGCGGGTGGGGGCCTTGCGTAGGGGGGGGGGGGGCGAATGCAAATGCGCTGGGTGTTCGTATGCGGTGGAGATTAACGATTTGGAGGTGTTGGTGGATAGAGTGGATTAGTGGGGAGAGAGGGAGTTAATATTCCGCTTGTCAGGTTGAAAGGGTGGAGTGTGCGTTTTGGAGTAAGGGGATATGGGGGTGTTTTATTTTGGAGAAGAGTATGGGAAATTAGAGAGCGGGATCCACATGGATGGTAATGTTTAACGGTTTTTTGGAGGCGATGGTATACAAGGACATGGGCCCTTGAATTGCGCAATATTGACGGGTGAGTAAAGTTCCTAATATCATCCTTGATAGCTTATACTCTTAAATACTGCATAGGTAGTAGGTGGGCCTAAAGCACTGAAGAAATAGGTCGATAGAGGTACGGAAATCTGCAACCCCCTTCAGAAACTGTACTTGCCCAACAACTCTCCATCTACTCAGAGAGATCAATGCAATAAACCTCTGGAGTAGCCGCCCGGACTATTCCTACCCCAATACTCCAAGCTGGATCCTTCTAGATGTCTAGAAACTCAAATTTAACGAGTATCGTACACTCCGTTTCGTGTCCAGCCAGATCAAACATGCGCACAAAAACCCACCCCGGCGCAACGTACATCAGTCTCACAGCTGCAACGGCGAAAAGCGGGTTTTTGGAGAAACTGTCGTCACTCTTGATCAACATGCGCAAGAAGATCATCTCATTATCCTCGTACTCCCATTCAAGTACTTCCTTCCACAGTGGTTCAGTGGCAGGCGGGTTGTCTTTGTGCATAAACCCAGTGAGTTTATGGGGTTTGTAGACGGCGGTCTTGCGCTTTGGAGGCATGTTGTTCAGGTCGTTGGGGTGAACAAGCGTGCATGTTAGGTAAGGCTTGATTTCGTTGGGGTCGCGTGTTTTGGGCAGAGGAATGTCTGTTGCACCCGCGACGTGTAGTCGGAGCTGCTTCCGCCTTCCAGTGCTAAGGTTTCCAGAGCCACCCGCGCGCAGGGCAGCAGGCTTAAGGACATATCCGCTAGAGCCAGTAAAGAGCGCTTCGTTGATCTGCGAGCTCGCACCAAACGTTTGCCAGTTAAGCGCGCATATCTGTGCGCCAATGCTCCAAAAAGGGACGGGAGCTAGGTTCTTGGAGGAGATTCTGGTGCCCTTGGGGTAGACGCGCATCAAATGATGGGCGTTGTGGCGAGCAATCTTTGCGCTATTGGCTGGGAGATGACTCTTGAGGCCAGATTCAGAGACGTTGATGAGCTGGTGGTGAGGCGCATTTTCAAGATCGCCTTCAAACCATGAGTTATTAACAGGCTTGACAGACTGCGCGTATACCCCCAGGTTTGCAAGCTCGGGAATGATGGTTCCAGTCGGGGCAGTCCTTTTTTGTTCTACATATGCCTGATGAGCTTGCTTTTGCTCTTCATCGCCGGAACTGGAAGAGTTGCTGCTGCTGGTCTCCTGTTCATCAGGTAAGTGATACTCAACAATGACTGCCACCTTGTTTCCCAACTCAGCAAGGGTGACATGCTCATGCTTTGTGGGGTCATTTTGTTCGCGTGTGCCTTTGTCGCGCACCTCTTGACTAAGGAGCCGGTGACCAAGAACCTCTTGGAAAATTTGTACCAGGCGAAGCTGGCCGTGCGCGCCACAATGGTTCTCCAAAGAAATAAGGATGGGCGCAGCATCGACCTCATTTGCAGCTTCCCTGTCAACAACATCCCGGATTGTTTCACACACCTCTCGGAAGGGTATGTGAGAGACGAGTGTGTAGCCATGAGTGACTTTGGGTTCGTCGGCATTCTCATCGTTGTCCCAAGCGTCAATCTCAACGCAGCGCGATCCAGTGTGAAGAGCAATCTCATATGCCTGTGCATGAGACTCGCCATAGAGTTGGTGAGCCATCAGGTATGTGTTGTGCGATGAACTGATGAAGTACTCGGGAAGTGGATGGTTTCTGTCGAGGAGTTCCCGGGGAATGTTGACGTGGTTCCTGCTAAGCATCTCTCGTAATGCTGAGACCCATTCTGCTTCTGAGCCAGATTTTGGCTTGTGCAGGATGTTATTCTCGATGATATGGTGCTGCAGTCCTTTGCTCACACGGAGCTGGTCTTTGGTGGTGTGCGATTCCCGTGAGGCATGGCCCCCACCAGCCACAGTCCCCGCATCAATGGCCTCGCCCTTATCTTCATCGTCGACGCTTTTCTTGGAGAAAGGATTGAGCTTTGCGATGCCGGAGACTAGTTCCGCCATGGTATGCTATGTACTGTACTATGGTGATAAGTAAGGGTCGATGGAATGTTCAGCCACAGGGACAATGAGGGGGTGGATGAGAGGTGTGGCTGGTTCAGCCAGCGGGGTATAAGTACAGTCTTGGCCGGTTCGCACGGACAGCGCAAACTCACAACAGTCTCACGTCCGCGTACGAATACCGACACTAGAAATCCTGCGCAGGCAGCAGGGATGGTGTAAGTAATCGGGTTGAAGCCATGGGTTCCAGCTTTTCTCTGAAGTCTTGGTTAAACGCGCCAACCTTTCGAGACGTCGCGCTAGAGCATGCGCTGCTTAGTGCTTGGACTAAGCTAACCTGCATGATGTCAGACGCGAGCCTTGCCTCCTATACTTCAGACACAATATCGTGGATTACATTGACCGTTTGGCGAACTCTACTCATGAGACTTGGTCAGCTACAGGAAAATCCCTGGAAATGCTGCGGGATTATCGTAAAATCGCTCGCGCCTTTAGGTATCACGGTACTGGTAACGCCGTGTAGCGGTTCGTGCATGCACAGCCACGATTCTAGCCTTAAGGTACGTCAACCGGACTGTCAGCCCAGAAAACCGCCAGCGAACAGTACCCACAAGCCGGCGTTTGTCGTCCCTCGTTCATGTCTATCGCAAAGACAGCCAATAGGATCGACTTTCACGGCTAAATCTAGGCTCTGTGTCCGAGGTCATGGTGGTCGGCCTCGCAGGAAGCCTCGGGTAAACCGTCTCGGAGCAGCTGGTGAAACTCTTTCCACAGAGACGGTCCACAAACTCGCAACCTTATGAGAAATCAGCCTCCCCGTGGCTGTGCGTGTATCGATCGTCTCGTCAATCTATCAGCGTCACCGCCTTTCGCTGTTGGAGACACAGTACTTATTTTCTATGGTCAGACTGGTACCTTAAAACAGTCACGCTCCTTCACATAAGTCTCAGCCAATCAGTGTTCATGCACTAGCTAACCCACTACGGAAAAACTCGACACTGAGCTGAATCCCCAGCTTCTAGTCTCAACCTTGAACCCCTCAACTACTAAGTTTTCCATAGTCAAGATACACTAAAGGATAGGGCCTGGGCATCATCAATTGCAACGTCAGTAAGCTGGTTGATTTTGAGATACGATTAGCTCGGTACATTCTTTGGCAGATCAAAGCATCAACAGTACAGAAATGACAAGGCCAAAGGACTATGTGTAGAGCATGTCACAGCATCATACGTTCGCTGTCATTCTTTCCAAGTAAAAAACAGGGGTATAATTTTCTAAGTTCACTATCTTCAAATCCACACTTTAACTAGAACTACCCCAAACCCCTAACATCCAGATCGCCATTCGTCAATCATACAAAAAAGCCTTCCCAAACAACCATCGTGACCTCATGCCTCCCCACCCCCGACTTACCTCACTCCCTCGTGCTCTCTCCTACACTCGCACTCTGACCGTCTTCGTGGTCAAAGACCTCCAATCGACCCTTCACACGTACAAACCAAAGTTGCAGGTTCACCCCCTTCTCCACCCGCAAGAAATCTCTTTAGACCATCCACATCGAGCCCCGCCACGATTTCAACCACCCTAGCACTTGTCGTAGACTTGAGACATGCTTCATGCAAGCTGCGATGGCGTACACAGGCAGCCCGCCTTGCATCAGCGCGTACTACAAGGGCATCAGCACCTTTTCTTTTCTTTATCTAGTAAGAAATTTAGAAGCATTCAAATACCATTGTCTGAGAAGGAGTCAGTGTGTCGGGACCCTGTGTCACTGATCCAGGTTCCCCCACACACGACGTCCATGTCACACTGACGAGAAAAGGGAGGGGGCGTGCGGTTGATAGAAGGGCCGACTAGGCCAATAGGAGGTGAAGATGTAGCATCGTTATCGTCGCGTTGGGGAGAGCCACCAGTGGCAGCAGGTATAATAGTTGACTGATCTGGAGCCGCCATGGCCGAAGCGTTGTTCAAACGAACGAAAACAGCTACGCCAACAAGTGGAATTTCAGCCCCTTAAATATCACTTTGCCATCGTGAAGAAAGAAAGGAGTGAAGCCAATTACATGGGGTGCATGTTCTCACCGCTGGAGAGCCTCACGTCTGACCAATGTCCCTCGCTGGGAGTGAGAAGAAAAAAGCACAGCCCATACACTCTCACTGCCCACACACACACAAGCAGCTGGCTCTGCTACGCTGTAAAAGCCCAATGCAGCAGGTATTGCTGCACGAGCAAAATCCTGCGGAAGTACTCCCAGCGCCGCGCCTACATGGTCTGGAGCACCCGCCACCGCCACCGCTACACAAGGACAAGGCTGAATGAGATTTGCTGCGTGTGATCATGAGATACGCCAACCGAAAGGCCCCTTCGGCGCCGCAAGCGAGAAGTAACATGGCAATCTAATCTTCCCCGGCTGGATAGCAGGGAAAGGAAAGGAGTGTATGTGTGCCTGGGGCCGTCCGCGTGACATTCTTGGAGCCACAAAGGATCAACAACTGTTGCGGTACATGGTGCCTCTTGTGCCGTTGGCCAACCAGAGACACAGCGGATCCAGCTTCCGGCGCCGTTGCCGCTGTATGACTTTGCACAGGGTACGCAGAAAAAAGGGTGTTCCGCGTGTAGCGATATTTAAAAAAACTCGGGTTTGCCGAGCAACCCGAGGGGGAAGCGGGTTCTCTCTATGGTTGAGATCCGGGGAACGTGAACAGGGCGGAGGGCTAGTAACACTTTTCCCGCCCGGCATCACGTTTCCTACCGGCAACGCTTATGCAGCTCCGGCAGCACGACTCGTGCCATGTGTGTACAAGGTTATGGGCGGTGTGATGAGCGTTTCTTGTCATCGTTGTTGTCGGGCGGATGACGTCGCCGTGAGGAGGCGCTTAGGATCGCCTACCATCTGATCGATTTTGCCACGAAGACAGGACAGGAGCTGAATTCACCGACATTCCTCTGTAGAATGATCGTCGCCTGTAAGTACCATGAGGAGAGATTGGGGGGGAGGGCTGTGCAATGTGTTTGGGTGCAATGGGGCAGGGCCTGTTGAAAAGGCTGCATGGGGGTGGTTAGGCGCCAGCTTTGGGGAAGCTGGGTTGGCATTGACGATGTACGGAATACTCTAGCCAACAGTAGGGCAGATGGAAGGTACCGAAGCCGCCTCGAGCGCAGTGCGATATTATGGGTAGTGATTCAAGATGCTGGTGATCCTACCACTGCAATCATGTTGCGCCCCGCGGACGTCTTGGTCGTCATTGACGATACTCCAGCTACTGGATACAAAACAGCACCGAGTCCAGATAAGGTAGGTTTAGAACTGCACCCGATTCCGCGGCACGTGTGCGTGGAGCAGCGATGCAATGCACTTGTGGGTGATTGTTGGAAAGCCTTCGGCAGTGAGGGGCTGTGGACCAAGTTGCACACACGGTACAACGGTTGCATGGATCCAAGTAGACAAAGTGAGAATGGCCACGGCTGATAGTAGCTCCAAACCCTACCGGCTGCCACGTGGTTACATGAACCGCAAAAGCTGTCATTCGAGGCCGGTCTGCGAAACCATGCTCGAGAAAAGCGCCGGAGCGCAATGTTTTGACGTGCCACAATTTAATCTATGCCCTAGAATCTCCGTCGAAGAAGCCATGGAAGGCCATGCTCTTCCATTGGCATGCGTCATCATTGGCCACGGGTGAAGCGCCATGCAGCCATCATGACAAGGGTCTTGATAACCGCTACGCGCGCTAGTCATCGATCTTCGGACACGGTCTTTTACTCTTCCTGCTGTCGGTGAGCAGTTACCTGCGACTGTGATTGCAGAATTACCTTTACGTGCTGACAGAGTCATGGAGGCGCCCTAGACATACACAGCAGCCTTTGTGGCGTTAGCAGAAGCAGTACTAGTTGGGTCCACTTTTTCCTGCAGAAGTGCAGAAGTGCACTCTGGTAGGCGCCTAATACGAACAGCAGACCGATTCCCCGGGCCAAAGGTGCAGATAAGCCTGCCGTTTGACATGGTGATGGATGCCCCTTCGGCATGGCCATCAATACATTTCTGTTTCATCCTCAGACATTCAGCTGGCCAACGCTGTGCCTTGGCAGATTGTGGAGCTGTCCATTATTCCCTTTCTTGCCGTGGTCCTGGCCACACTTGTTCCTCATCCTTGTACGATGTCCATTGGGTCTGTGCTTTTTGCCTGTATGGTTCGGGGAAAGGGGGCATGTAAAATCGATATCGAATACTGCCTAGAGCCTTGTTCGGAAATGAGAGCATCGTAGCGGTGAGGAAAAGCCACACGTGAATTTTGAAGAGTACCATCTGAGCGAGGATTGGGGCCAGAATTGGCTGTAACTCCCTTGCTGTCAAATAAATCCATATGGATAGCTGATATGAAGCACACTGATCGTGGCGAGCGACTGACTAGTACCAGGTGAAGCTCAATTGAGCCGACCTGGCCTACACAACGGATATAGATTCCTGGAATCAATTCGGCTATTCATGTCGTTTGCATACTGAACTCGAAGCATTTCAATCTTAAGGTGGTAGGTGCCAAACGTGTATTGGTTGCCACATATACAGAACAACTGCAACTAAGATTTGCGCAAAAGGCTGCATGTCCAAGGTCATGGGACTGACGCTTGCCGAGAGCCAGGTCAGCCACCCCGTTGCGCCTCAGCCTTTACCTGTACTTATGTGTAGTACATGTCGAGTCAGCCGGATAGCGTCATTCGTCCCAGCTCGCCATCGTCTAGGTTTGCACGTACCAAAGCGTCAATTCACCGAAACAAGGCCGCCGCCCTAACAACCGAGCCTGGGTCTGTCTTCGCTTGGAATGGGGAGAGGCAGAGCGGCGATCGGGCTGGGTTGCCAAGGATGCTCGCTCCGCAAAGCAACATCCTTGTATCTCCCAACCCTACCAAGATGTCTCAGAAAATGGAAGTCTCGGGCCCGTGGTACGAGCTTCAAAGCGGGTCTAAGCTTCTTGTAACCAGGGTAGTTCATATTTGTCACAAGAGAACCGCTCTACCGAGACCTTGTAGATTCATACTGGCTGAAAAAGGGGCGATTAAAAAGCAACTAAGCAACTGGAAGCCACTATAGTGAAGAAATTTGTTTGAGGAAATGAAGGAACAACGGTCTGATCCCAGTCGATGTCCATCATCATACATCGACATTAAGTGGACTTTTTCTCCTCCTGTTTCTTCCCTTTCTGTTTTGCTTCCTGGACGATGACCTCCATCTCGCGGGTCATCTCATCTTTCAATATATCTGGATTGTGTACACAGATGCACCCGGCGGAGGCAGAGGTTCCAACTCTGCAGCCTCCTGACATTCCCACTGGAAGATGCCAGAGTGGAGTGTATTCCAGCCGCTGAGAGGGGTGCACGCCAGGAGGAATATTTTGGCGGGGAGGTTCTAAAATTGGTCGGCCGTGAACAGGACAATCGGTTTGCGTGTATTGTTTCGAGTCTGAAGTCGTTGCAGGCAAATGAGGTTCTTGACCACAAAATTTGAGAGAGATGTCTTCCTGAGTTGCTTGTTCCATATTTTCTCTAGAGTATCCCGGCTGTTTTAGTAGCTGAGTGAGCCATGGCTGGGATCAGTGTGATAGAGGAATGTGGTATGCATACCTGTTTTCTTTGGCACCGAAATAGTCTATAATTTGGGAAAAGGAAATTATGCGTTTTAGTAAAAAAGGCCGTTGATGTTGAGACGATAGCTTTCGTGAACACAGTGCGATTGCATTTTATAGATATTTAAGTCTCTAGAAGAATGCTGGAAGAAGGGGTGATGCATATAAGATCTACTTTAGTGTTTCCACTGACATCCTCACGGCTGGCGGCAGAGTGGATCATGTCTCCACCGTTGAAGGTATACAATTGTTTGGAAAGAGCGAGTTTGAGCAGGCAATATCCCTACCTATTTGCAAGGGTAGAAGGTAGGGTGGCTCTACGCTTAAACTTTATCAAAGCCCAGTGCGGCCCGTACAGTCCGCAGTCAGCTAGGAACTGGGTACACAAAATTGAGCGCTAAGATGATTTGTAGGGCCATGGGCTATTGGGACAAAGCCCTGTGGCTAGCCAACCTGCAAGAATTGGTCATGCCATGCTGAATTCTTCGAAATCCACTCTCTTGTTAAGAGTGCCGAGTAAAACTTTTACAGTAGAAGAAGATGTTTTGGAAATTGCGTCTGACAAGCTGTCTAGATCTCGGTCTGAGCTTGGTCCGGTACGGACAGATCCCGATCGACAACCGCGTGCTACTCGGTACGTGTGCCGCTCAATCAGAAGATTACGCGCGCTATGGTCGAGTCAGGGAGCAATAGCTATGGTCTTCACTGCATTGGCAAGGGATATAGATATACACGCCATGCGTACTGACAGGCCAAGGACTAGTTGCTAGACCAGCAACAATTCGCCACAGGTACAATAGGTAAGATCTGCAACCAATCCTAAACCTGGTCTCTTTTCTGCTATGCCTGACACTCCCTCGAAGACAGTGGTCGTGGAGGATGAAGAGGCGATCCCACGGGTGAAGAAGCCCGCAAGGGAGATGGGGGCTTGACACTACCGGAATATCCTCATACTGATGTTTATCATACAGAGCGACAGATGAGACCGGCTATTGAATGAACACAGCGGTGAAAAGAACAGGCATCCAATGTAAGAGAACTCCTTAAGTGGCATAGCGTCTGAAAAGTAGGCAACAAGGCAAACGTCCGCATATTTGCGGCGCTTGATGAGCCACAAAGTGGTTTGGCTACAGTTTGTGCGGGTTTTGCTCAATATTCTCGAATGACTCGTGACGGCTACATGTACGGTGCTGGATGGCCTCTAGGGCCGGTTGTGTGACATGATTTCGACCAGGTTCCGGGAGTTGCTTGCATGGACGAGGCACCAGCCATAGCCTGACCTTGCTCACGCTAGTTATGGCTGGCATGGCGAAACGTTGCTGACAGTGTGTCTGGCATAAGCGTCTTTCGTCGGTATGTATGCGGTTGCTGCATGGTCTAGTCGGTATGTATGCGATTGCTGCATGGCCTAGTGATAGCGTGTGCTTCGGTTCGGATATGATTTGGACATGGGCTTGATAGAGTGTTTTGCACCGCTGCCGTTCAAATCTCGCACTAACGTCCGAATTACTAGTCCAGGGCTCAAACCAAGGCCGGGAACGAGCGGGGCGGCACGCAGAAGGTATATATTTTGTTGTGGCGTATGGTCTCGCGACAGTCGTTGGCCTTTGCCTTTGCTTGCAGGGTGTGGTTGGTGCCGTGGGGGCTGAAAGACAGCTGGCATCCCCTTAATCATGCATTGCACCGTAGGACGGCGATTCCCGGGTCGGGACACAGCAGAAGGAGAATAAAGCTTTCAAGACTGGCAACGGGATGGTGACGAAGTTGAGATAAACGCGCCAAATAAAGCTGGCGAGTCAACGCGTAGGCTCCATGTGGGGGGAACCGACCTGAGTTCGTTGCCGGAAGTTCCCGGCCATCAACCTCGGGGGAATGGTGGGGAAAACCGAGGCTGAGGTGATCGCCGCCAGGTACCAGAAAAAAAACATGCTGACGCTGCGATGTTCAGACATAAAACTCACCGCAACACGCGTGAGATAGCAGAGAGTCATCCTTTGCGTGAACGCAAACCATCTCAGTCAAGACACATACGCGATGAGCGACACCAACGGCGTCAATGGCGCCAGTGGCACTCCATCGGCCTCCAAACTTTTGTGGAAGCACCCCTCTCCGCAGTCTACCCCAATGTACCGCTTCCTCGAGTCAGTGAACAAGACACACACTCTCCAACTGTCAGACTACCCACAGCTACATCAATGGAGCATCGATCATGTCGATGCCTTTTGGAAGAGCACGTGGGATTTCGTCGGCATCAGACACAACGGAACGCCGTCATCGGTCAGTTGTTGTAGCCCCATGCGCATATCTGTCAGCTCACCAATGACCAGACGGTGGATCCAGATGCCTCCATGTTTCCACGACCGCCTTTCTTTCCAGGGGCGACGTTGAATTTTGCCGAGAACCTGTTGTTCCCTACCCAGGAAGTTGATGCCGAATCACCTGCTGTCATTGCTGCAACCGAGACCACGCGAGAGACAGTGACATGGAAGGAACTAAGAGATAGGGTACAGCGATGCCAGGCAGGCATGCTATCTCTAGATCTCAAGGAGGGCGATCGAGTTGCGGGTTATGTTGCCAATCACACGAACGCACTGGTTGCTATGCTCGCAGCGACATCGTTAGGAGCAGTCTGGACAGCCATCAGTCCAGATACAGGTGTACATGCTGTCTTAGACAGACTGCGCCAAATAGAGCCATCACTCCTTTTTGTCGACAATGCTTCCTTCTACAACGGCCGGAGCCATCCAGTCTTGCCCAAGGTCATTGAGATTACCAGGGAACTTCCTACTCTCCAGGCTGTTGTTGTTTTCCAAACAGTTGCATCCGTTGCAGTTGACGCTGGTTCAATACCTGTTGCATCAGGAAAGGCATACGACTACGCTACTTTTGCTTCGCTCAAGTCAACAGCAGAGCTCGAATTCAGGCAACTGCCGCCAGACCATCCAGTCTACATACTATACTCGAGCGGCACGACCGGAGCACCCAAGTGCATCGTGCATGGAGCTATTGGTACGTTGCTCCAGCACAAAAAGGAACATATTCTCCACTGCTCGATTGCGCCCCAATCACGGCTTTTCTACTTCACCACCTGTACTTGGATGATGTGGCACTGGCTCGTCAGCGGACTAGCGTCAGGGGCCACGTTGGTTCTGTACGATGGGTCGCCGTTTCGCTACGTGGACCGCTTCGATCCCTCGACATCCGTGGCGGATGATCTCGCAATGCATCGCCTCATTGATGAGTTCGGCATTACGCACTTCGGTACCTCTGCCAAGTACCTATCTATCCTAGAACAAAAATCGGTCGATCCAGCCGCAGCTGGCCTTGGTCTTGATACGCTCGAGGCAATCTACTCGACCGGCTCTCCACTGGCACCATCGACGTTTTCCTATGTATACTCGGCATTCCCGTCGTCTATCAATCTCGGTAGCATAACTGGAGGCACGGACATTATCTCGCTCTTTGGCGCGCCTAACCCGCTGCTTCCAGTTTACGAGGGTGAAATCCAGGGCCCTGGTCTGGGCATGGCTATTGCTGCATATGATTTCACAGGCGCCGATATTTCGTCGTCAGGCGAACCAGGCGATTTGGTTTGCACCAAGCCATTCGTATGCCAGCCTGTAGCATTCTGGGGCACTGATGGCGAGGCAAAGTACCGCAAGTCGTACTTTGAAATGTTTACCAACGAAAAGAAACAACCCGTGTGGCATCACGGCGATTTTGTGCGCTTCAACCCAGAGACTGGTGGAGTCTGGATGCTTGGCCGCAGCGATGGTATCCTCAAGCCTGCTGGCGTGCGATTCGGATCCGCCGAGATTTACAACGTGGTGCTCCAGCATTTCCCAGAAGACGTGGCCGACGCACTATGTATCGGCCGTAGAAGAGAAACAGACACGGATGAAACTGTAGTGCTGTTCCTCAAGATGGCAGATGGCCGCAAAATATCATCCGACCTGGTCGACAGGATCAAGTTGACGATCAAGAAGTCGCTGAGCGCACGCCATGTTCCTGCGATTGTAGATGAGTGCCCGGAAATCCCAGTGACGACCAACGGCAAAAAGTGAGGCTCCCGTATCGACTGGAGAGTGTGTCAATGTACTAATATGCCAATAGGGTTGAAGGAGCGGTCAAGCAGATTCTGTGCGGAATGAACGTAAAGACAAGTGCCAGCGTGGCTAATGCTGAATGTTTGGATTGGTATCGCGAATGGGCGCGTACGCACTGAGGGTAGTAATGCTTCCTCGTGACCAGTATAGTATATGGAAAAGTCTCTCCGGAGAAGAAGAAAAAAATAGACAGGAGAAAGGAAATAGACCCGAACGCCTAATGAAAATGCCGCAGCACCCCGGACATGGGGTGGGTTCCAGCCATGTGGGCAGCCGGTGCCTGATGAGAAAAACTCCGTTTAATGAGATAACAAAAATGGGTGTTTCGCTCCTTGCTCTTATGCCTTCAAGTTGAAAAAAAAAGAAATCGTAACTTCATCCGCATCTCAGTTCTTCAAAAGTCACCAAACCCATCGTTGCCCTCCTTGCTTACGATCTCGCGTACAACTCGATCCACCTTTTCACTCAGCCCAATGACGACATTGCGGCCGTATGCCACTTCCTTGGTAACGACGACCTTGAAGCGGCCCGGAGCGCCGTGTATGCACACCATGGCCTTGTGGCCGAGCAGACCGTTATCCGGCCCGCGCACGTCGACGACGCTGATGGAGACTTGGGAGGGGAGAACTTTGTAGCCTGCCGTGTATTTGACTAGGAAGGAGATATTGCCTATTCACCGGATCTGATTAGCTGATTGCTTTTTTATCTTCATGTTTGTTTGCTTTTTCCCCCGTTATCCCGCTCCACCCTGGACCCGTTTGGGCAAGATCCAGATGAGGGGGGGAAAGCAAAGATAGGAATAAGGGCATGATAGAGAAGGGAAGGAGGGGAAAACGCACCAGCAATAGTCTCCACCACATGAATCGGCAGCTCACCACGGCGGGGGCTCAGATGCGAGAAGATTTGTTGGTGAACGGGGTCGGGAAAGACGTTTTCCATGTTGAGGTTAGATGACAGGGTCAAAGATGACATTAGACTTTGTGCTCGAGGAAGTTATGGATTAATGTTATGGAATGAAGAGAGGAAAATGGGAAAGAGAGCAAAGGGTAGTATGTAAGTTATGCAAAAGCGAAAGTCAAGTCGAGTCCGCCTCGTCCGAAAAGGGTATACGTGATGGTAGGTGGTTTAAAAGTGGGGGCGTGCGTTTGGGGCGAGAGGTTGACCGCCAGTTAGAGCCGACCACGTCCGTGGTGCTTTGACCACTTTTCCCACGACAGCAACGAGAGAGGGTCCACCACGAAGGGGGCCGTGTCGTGAAACCCACCGACATTTGGGATGAGTGAGCTGTTCGCGTGCGTAGGCTTTGAGGGATCTTTGTCTACGTAAGACAGCGTGTGGCGCGGCGTTGTTTTTTGGTGGCTTGATCCGGGTAGCCGACAACACCGGTTGCCGACGACACCGTGTACAAAAGGCCTTTTGCGGGAAAACTTATATTGTTGCCTAGAATAATGGATACTTGGATACCCCCCCGAATACTTTGTGTTAATACAATGGACCAAAATAAAATATTTCCCAAGTCATGCATAGACATGAAGACAATACCAGACATGATGCCATCCAAGTGGCATGCAGAGGGCATGCTACATCTACAAGTCGCGTCATCTCCCTTCCTTGATCTTGACGGCATCAGCAAACATGGGGAAGGTGCCTCTGAAGCTAGGACCTAGAGTCCAGTTGTTGAGGTCGCGCAAATGCGTCTCAAAGGCCGGGTTGATGAGCCATTGATCATCTTCCTTGGGCAACTGCTCCATGCTCGGTATGCAAGCAGCTGCATTGCCAGTGAGCGGCTGCGGTGTTGCAGGCCCCTGTGGCGAGCCGGCATTCACGTGCGTTGAAAAGGGCGAAGATACCGACATGGACGACGTGGTGGAGAGAGTCGAGGTCCGGACCATCGAGGCAGGAAGCAGACAATCACGGTGCTCATAGGGCCAGTTGAGGGAGATTGTGGTGGTGAAGGGGATGAAGAAGTTCTCAAACGAGACTTGGGGCTGCGCGGCAATGAGCTTGTCGCGAAGACGGGGCCTGGAGCGGATTAGTCATGCATGTGGGAATGTGGTGGGTGGGTTTTTGGCAGGGGGCAAGGGTGCATGTGGGGAAGTTCCAGGGCAGGGCAGGGCAAGGCAAGGCAGGGCATACCAAGGGAGATGATCGATCCACAACGCATGCGCGGTAAACAGCTGCGACGGACGTGGGGTTACCCAATGTGGCAGTCGGTCGTAGTTTTCCTGTGTTGGCTCAATTTGCCAGCGCATGATCAGGAACATGATGAACACGATAGCCACCTGCTCTGGGCGCCCGCAGATGTCTGGAAATGTGCGCAGGATATCTGTGAAGAGCTTGGATAGCGGATGCGACTCAACAGCGCGGTCGGGGTAGGCTAGCGAGGTGAAGTTGGGATAGTGAGGGCCGACCAGCGTCTTGACCGGCACCCCTTCGGCCGCGCGATTCTGCCGGTCCTGGAGGAAGTCGAGCAGGATCACATCGAGCGGACAGGTGGCAGGCAGATTGCGCGGCAGCGTCAAGTGGGCGACCATGTTGGGGGCGTACTGTGCGTGCTGGCTGGTGCTGACGTTGCTGGGGCGCATCTGATGTGGAGGTGGCAGGTTGGGGTCGACAGCCCTGCGCTGGCCATTATCGAGCAGGAAGTCGACGCCCAGACGCTCGTCAAAGGGCATATCCGTGTTGATGCGCGCCTGGTGGAATTGTGGACCTGGACTATCGCTCGAGTAGCGGCGCAGATGGCTCGTGGGCGCATCGTTGGGGTAGAGCCACGCGCCTGTGCCTATGGCTGCGTTTGCGTCGTGCACGCCGGGCGAGGGTACACCATTGTGCGGTGAGGCCGAAGCGATGGGGGCATGGAGCTGGCGCGCATCGCGTTGTTGGAGATGATGGCTTTGGTTTTGATGTTGTTGTTGTTGTTGTTGTTGTTGCTGCTGTTGTGGAGGCTGGATAGGAGAAAGGGGCGAGCGTTCAGCGGCGGCTGCGAGTTCTACAAGTCGTCAGTAGTCATTCATTCTTCCAAGCTCCATCTCTCATTGGTAGTCTATTGTCCTTGTCCGTCTCCTGCCACGCTCTGGAGTCGTACCGTTCAAGCCGCCGGTGGCGCGCACAATGGGCTGGATGATGCTGAGTACGCTCTCGAGGCGCTTCTTGATGTCGGCATTCTCCGCCTGGATGGCCTCCTTCTCGCGCAGGACGACCTGCAGGTCGCTGTAGGGCTGCTGGCTCTCGAGATCGCGGATGCGCTGGTTGAGGGCATCGATCTGGTTCTTTGTGCGCTCGCGAATGGCGCGCTGGGCCTCTCGGTCGTTTGCACGCTTGCGGGCAAGCTGTTCGGGGGTGAGGTTGGCAACGCCGCGCGAGTTTGGGCCGGTTCTGCGCTTTTTACTGGGCTGGCCACCATCGCCTGAGCCCTCGTCTCTCGGCGTAGGCTCAGGTGTGTCTGCCTCGCCCGCAGACGCCATGCTGATCATGGAAGCTGTGTCGGATGCGACTCAGGATTGATCTGGTCAAATCCTGTCCCGAGTCATGAGCCTTGGCGCTAGCACCCAGTGGGGCCTCTAGCAATGCGGGGAATGCATGCCATGCACCCCCATTCACCTCCATCTCCATCCTTCCCGTCATGCACCGCTGCCGAGGATCGAGCTCACGGCTCCTCCGGATATCCCTCCCCGCCTTGACACTGCACATATCCGCCATGGCCCCAGCATCAGCTCTAGCCCTGCCTTGGGCACACTCACCACTCCACCACCCACCCTTCACACCATGGCCGACAATCACGTAAGCAGACTGCGCATCGCTTCGGCCACGCTAAAAGCTAGTACGCGTCCACATGCTGCCTCTCCTACATCTCATACCCTGACACATGCACAGTCGGCGCCGCCCTACAACGCTCTCTAACCTCACCCTTCAAAGGCGACAATGGCTCCAACACATACTTCAAGGATATCATGTTCGCCGTCTTCCGGGCCAACATGGGCAACCTTGACCTCGTCCATGACCGCTACTTGAACGGAGGCTCTACAACCACAAATTACGTCAAGTATGCCCAGCAGCACAAGTTCGCGCCAGACAGCATAACCCTGCCCAGCGGCACACAAGCGCACTGGTTGGGAAAAAGCAATGCGACAAAGGTCTTGGTATACTTCCATGGTGGGTCAAAGTAGCCGTGTATTACCCACACCCGAACCCCGAAAGCTGACACTTGCAGGCGGCGGCTATGTTCTCCCTGCTGGACCTGGCCACATACTCTGGCTCGACGACTTCCAGAAGTCTCTTGGTTCCGATGTGTCTGCACTACTTCTCGCATACGATGTTGCACCCGAGGCTAAATACCCTACTCAGCTCAAGCAAGCTGTCGAGCTTCTCGACCACCTAGTATACACCCAGGGTCGTAGTCCTTCTGATCTCATACTGGCTGGCGACTCCGCTGGCGGCAATCTTATCCTCGGCGCCCTTTCGCATATTGCACACCCGCACCCAGATATCACACCGCTCTCACTACCTGCCAGGCTCCATGGTGTTTTACTCATTTCGCCATGGTGTTCACTGACCCGGACCGATACCCTTGCATTCACCACGAATGCTGAACGCGACATGGTTGATGCTCGGGTTCTCAACCGATGGGCTGCTGGATTCCTTGGCTCGGACTCTCCTTTTGCCGGCGACTTGTACAACGAGCCTGTTCTGGCATCTCCGGATTGGTGGGCGCCTGTTGCCGATTTTGTGGAAGAAGTTTTGATCTGGGCAGGCGATAACGAGGTGCTCAAAGATGGCATTGCAGCTTTTGCGGAAAAATTCACAAGAGGATTTGGTAGCGGGGGTGGACTTGTGAATACTGTCTTTACACCAAAGGCGTGCCATGAGGAGATGATTGTGGAGAGGATCCTGGGATATAAGGGCGACTCTGGAACAGGTAGTCAGCAAGTCTTGGAAACGTGGATCAAGGCGAAGCTTTGAGTCGCCATTTGAGCTCTTTGTTTGTCTACATCGTAATCGACACACATCCTATCGCAACGGAACAACTGCCCCCAGCTTTCTGCAGAAGCATTTTTGCTCGAGCTAGACATGGTACCTGATGCATACATTCCACCTCAATAGAGAAGGCATTTTCATTGGGCATTCAGTACATCTCGATCTGCAGCAACACACTTCAATTTAGAATGTCACAGCTCTCACAATCCCACACGTACAATTGCTTTCTGAACTGGATCCGTAATAGTGAAGTCATTGTTCGTTGAAGCTGGGATTGGCTGTCGTTTCTTCATGTTCGCGTGGCTCATTGGTCAAACTGGTTCGTCAGGTTACACAGGCACTGTACCGCGCCGCAATGGTGATGACCCCGCCCAAGGCAGCAGCTGTAAGAATTACACTGCTACCCTCTTAGTACAAACGATCTCAAAATATCAGACTTCTCTACTCAATGAACATGGCTTCCACACGTGCTACAACATCGACGCCTGCCGTCGCCAGCACGTCTTCCCTCCACCCTCACCTCACATTCCGCGATAGGCTCTGTTTTGCGCGGTTCCTGTTCGTTCCCCTCTACGTACGCTTCTGCACTTCGCCCTCGCTCTCTTCGCTCTTAAGCCACATTTACATCATCGGCACTACCGGCATTTCCATCGTTCATTTCCGTGGGGACATCGTTAGTCTTCGTAACGTTGGAGATGTCGTCTACGGTCTCGCGGTAGCTAGCATCCCAGGCTTGTGTAGATCTTATTCATTGACAGCCAGGATTATTCCTGATATCGAAGGCTGGCGTGGTGGAGTGATTGACTGGGCGTTTATAACGTCGTCTTTGATGTTTCTCTTGCCGGAGGAGTATAGTAGGGACGTGGAGGTAAGATGATCGTGGCAACTGTGTAGTTTGATGCAGGAACTGATATTTATCTATGATACAGGAACTTAGCGCAGAGTACAAACATGCCTATCCAGCGTTTGATACCTGCGTTGCAGTCTTTTGTGCACCCATCGTTTGGTGTTGCTTTGGGGGACGAGGATATTCATGGTATGGTATCCTGGTTGTTTGGGCCGGTTTGGCCTCAGTTGCCGAACGTGTGTACCTGATACATCTGAACTATCGGTAAGCATATCGGGCCTTGGTTTTGCAAAAGGAAATTTACTGACGTCAGATACAGCAGTCTTTGTAGATCCGGGAAGACCGTACGAGAGAACTCGTGGTCATATAAAGATATTTCCAAGAAACCAGGGCGATTTGTGAATGGATATGGGAAAGAGCTCACTGTTAAGGAAATGCTCCTGTGGCACGCGACGGGCAGCATAAAACCACGAGCTTGAGAATCTTTGATATGGGATCACGTAGGAGAAAAAGTCATACATTATGCACGAGTACTGAAAGAAACAAAATTCCTATCGTTCTTTCATATGTCGGCGAAGTTTAAGATTTTGGTATGGCATTTTTCGTCGGACGAATCAAGCATGAAAGCCCCCAAGATCTGAGACACATTGCGTTTTGAATACATATGATTCTTGAAGGAATACCTGCAGAATTGATTCTTGGAGGAATCGTTTAACTGTTTTAAAAGAGAGGTTCCGAGTGAAAGACTAATACTTCGAACCCGTCTCCCCGTTTGTTTCATAAAGCTGTAATTATGCTACTGGAAGCGATTGCAGTTCAATCGATGTACCTCCACTCTCTTCACGATTTTTGTAAATATCTGAATCCCCGACTATTGAACATGATATGAAGTATGGTCGCGCTGGGATGTGCGAACAATGGTTAATTAGACGATCGGGAACTTGCTGTAAGCTTCGCTATATATTGGTCTTCTCAAGGCTATGAGATTGAAGATAAAAAGCAAACTAGATAATGTTAGTAAGACGCTTTTTGTGGGTTTTACATTGATGGAGTTGCCTTAGATGTGTAGAGTTTGGTCTCTGTTCCTTCGTATAATAGAGTGAGGCCCTTTCATACAGAGTCATTGTCTGTTGGTGTACCTTCATGCCTCAGTCTAATAACGCATTCACACTCTGACGCCTTGTTGAAGAAACCCTCTCGAATGACGGTCGGCGTCTTGTTCACCCTTTTCACCTCAAACAGCCTGAATGAGACTGCTACAGCCTTCAGTATCTCCATCCAAGCGAAGCTGCAGAGGCGTGAGATACCACTTTTCTGCTCATCAAAGCATCAGCTTACCTTCTTCCAATGCAAGCCCTTGGTCCTGTAGAGAAGGGAAGAAAGTACGCCATCAGATCTTTGGAATCACCTGTCATCCATCTCTGCGGACGGAACTCGTCGGGGGCCTCAAAAACTCTTTCGTTGCTCAGCACACCACACGTCGGAACACTAACAATTGTCTAGTGGATCCAGATCAGCATATTATAATCATATCAAACGGTAAGACTTACACCTGCTGGAAAAAAGACGCCTGCAATAGTCTTACCACCTTCAGGTACAATGCGCTCTAGGCCTGTTGCGCTCGTGGGCCGAATGCGCATAACCTCACGGAGCGTGGCAACTAACAATGGAAGATTCTGAACAACTTTGTCAGGAGCCACCCAGTCATCATTTTGCCTTCCGGGAAAAGCTTCATCCAGTTCGGCCTGTAGCATTTTTTGAAGAGGTGGGTCCCGCGATACAATGTCTATGAAATTCGTTATGGTGCTGCTAGTTGTGTCACTACCTCCGACTATAAAGCTGATGGATTCAGCGATTATTTCATGTTCCTCAATCACCCCATTTTCGTCTTTTGCACGGAACAGGAATGATAAAAGATCCTTTTCAGGATGGTTATGGTCCTTGCGTCGTCTATACGCTTCCCGGCCAATACTTTCCAAGTTAGCCCTTGCACGCAGACCAGCGCTCCAGAAGGGATCAAAATAGTTGTATTTCATCCAAGGTCGAATCCAAGATGGGAGTGAGCCTAGGGAATTGAGGACTTCTCCTCGTGAGTCAATGGTAGCAATGAGGTTATATGGATCCTTCCCTTTCTGGATAAATCCGAAAGATGAACCAAAGGCAAAGCGACCAATGATATCAAAAGCAAGATAGTTTGCTATAAGCTTGTCAGCATATCTGATAAAGATTTTGCAATACTGTTTCCATTCATACTCCACGTAGCAAAGTCGATCGACGCGCTTCCTCCCTCGACCATTCCCAAAAGCCTCTTTTTCCATGCTAGCATCTCATTATCCATATGCGGTTCAAAATCAGAAAGCGCTCTTGCAGAAAATGCGGGGTTCAGATACTTCCTCTTCCGTTGGTGGGCATCAGTGTCCCTGACATTAAAGAGTACCGGCGTGACTTGAAGGAATGCATCGTAGAAGTCACTCTTCACAAAACCAGACTTGTGGCCGTAGATGATATTCACTGCCTCTAGATTGTTGATGGAAACGTGGTTGGGTGCAATTAAGACGAAATCACCATGAATTTTGTGCTGCTCCATGACGGCGACAGATCTCCGGGCCTTCCGGCATTGCATCACCAGCCATATTGGAGAATACCTAGCCCAGAAATGCCCTGGGATATGACGGAGCGGCAAGAGAAAATTGGTAGTTACTAGTTTTATAGCCTGAAAGAAATGGATCAGTTATGAATTGATATGAGATGGGATTTCGAAGTCTAACAATAAAAATAGAAATGAGAGCAAAGGCCTGCGTGACTGAAGTCCACAAGGTCGTGTTCTTTAGTATAGAGAATGTATTCTCGACGGAGAACATTGTAACTCAGGTCATCCAAGATAACGTCGTTGAGTAGGTTCAGCGGCTTAACCCCGTACTCGTCTCAGCTAATATAGGATTGTTTCGTATCTGCGGACTTTACTTCGCCGAATGAGTCGAAATGAGTCGAAATGATACAGTTTCAGCTAAAGTTCAGCAGCTATCCGAAAGCTATTTATAAGATCGGCTTGAGTTCGGCATTCTGGTAGAGCGGGGCAAGCGGGGGGTTAGTGTGAGGATCCAAGCAAGAAAACGAAGGCAGGCAAGTGACGCGGCTAGGTCAGCGCAGCATCCGGCGATCAGTAAGTCATTTCATCAACCGTGATATTCACAAGGCCATATTCATTTGAAAACTAGAACTCCATAATTTTTTTCATGTTGTCTTTGACAAAATATCAGTGTACAAAACTTAGTAAATGACCGGTATTTACATAAAGAATGTCGGTTTGAACGATATAGTTCTATATTCTCGAGCATTCTTGATTTTTTTAAGCATTGTGACACAGCATCTAGACCAGGTCTATGGCTATGAATCAAGCTTTGACATGGCTAGGGCTCTTAGTCACCTGTGGCTGTGCTGCAAGATAGCAGGAAGGGAAAACTCTTAACTCCCCGCTTACTTCTATTCTCCCCGGACTGAGTCATGACAAATATACAAATACCCGAAATCCGCGGCTCGCCGGCACACTAGCTTGCGACAATCTTAATCAAGCAGTATGCGCTACTCAACGGTCAAAATTGGCAAGCTAGCTACCCTACTATTGTGAGTTTCAACAATATGATAGTCATTAGCATGAATCAAGGCCAACAATAGCAGAGGTAGTTCATCAATCTGTAGATATAAGCTCAACAAACACTGCCTTGGCTAGGTAGCTGTTCGTCTATGGTGAATAAAATGTTAAGTCAGATATGACTAAGGGGGCCTTTCTTGGGCCAATAGGCACCAGAGAGGCCCAGAGGGGGTCAGGGGAAGCTAGGTTCTGATAACGAGTGATAGTAAGAAGGATTTGTTCTCTATTGATAATATTAAGCCATTGTAGAAACTACCAAGACTTATGCTAGTACCTAACAACTATCATAGAGCGTTAATTACGCATCTTATTGTTCTACCAAGGTATAGTCTCAAGAATTTTACGATCTATAAAAGACTGATATCCTTTCTAAATCTTCTACTTAGTAAAGAAGCTACATAAATTAGAGGTAGAAGATATTCAATAAAAAGATATAATGATTTTGTTATTGATTTTACTATTGTTACGGCTTTGGGCCAGTGGGGTGCAGATGATGGACGATTATCTCGTTTAGTATTATCTGCGTACGAATGTCAGCAGCTCTAATATTCTTATGATAGCCTTTCTAGCACTGTGGAAGCATTGTAGTTGTGTGCAGTCTGATTGGGCTCGAGCAGTTGCGACTATAGTTAACTTGAATTACATTTTCTTACTAGTTACTTTACTTACATAGCAAGACGGAAGTGTAAGGCAAGCGTGCTTCTACGAGCCATAAACAACGCTATATATACGAGGCCTTGACTACAGTATTTGTATAGAAACATAGTTCGCGGAATATACATAAAGGTAATAGACGCCACTTCTAGAGACGAAATATACACAGTTGTAGATAGAGACTAGAAAACCACAGGCCTCTAGGGGCAGATAGTGCTTTCGAGATTGAAGTGGGGCATTATGGGCTTATGTTCGTATCGCGTCGGCTGGCTGTCATGTCTGTCATCCGAACATAGCTGTGAAGATCATGGCTGAAACAGAGCAGGTGGAGATAGACGCGTGTACAACACCCCAACAGATGATGAAAGCGCTTAAGCGTCAAGCCTCTTTCAATAGTGCAAAATATAGAGGCTGGGCAGCTACTGTGTTTGCAGATCATTTCTGTATCCATTGTCAAGGAGTGTATTGTTTTAGGGGGTATGTTCGAGATATGTTTCCACGTGACTCTTTTCAGACAGCGTATATAGGCTAACTAGTAGGCTAAAGTGGGCCACCAGATCTTCTGATCAACAATCTATTGATTGAAGAAGATTTATCGCTCTTTTAAACATGTTTTTCACGCCATTCGCAATCCTAGCTCTGGTACTACCAGTACCCGCCATGTCATCCAGCAACTGCACGTGCACACCCGAGACAATTCAGACATGTATTGAATGGGCAAATATGGCAGACACTGATAGCACTCCTACCTGAAGGCAGTTAATTGTCTTATGCAGCTACCTGGTCAGACAGGTATCAATGGTACAGTCACTAGGTTTGATGATATGCATGCCATGCATCAGGTGCAGGCGAAAGAAATTCATCTTGTTGTCAGTTCTCCCTAACTATATTGCTACGATAAGAGGATATGCTTTGTTAACTGAGCTTTGCATGGATATAGGCGCAGTTCCTGCCGTTTCACCGCCTCTATATACAGGTGTATGAGCAGCTCTTGCGAGAGGAGTGCGGCTATACGGGGCCAACGCCGTGAGTTCTACCACTGCAACTATGTTTTCCTGTTCCCGTCACTGACAAAATAGATGGTGGGATGAAACCCGCGACGCGGGGAATTTCATGGGCTCGCCACTCCTTGATCCCAACACAGGATTTGGTGGCAACGGGACCGCTCCAGATGGATGTGTTACCAATGGTCCTTTCGCAAATACCACTCTTCGCATAGGTCCGGGCCAAAAACAGGAGGTCCATTGCTTATCCCGCAAGGTTGAGGAGAGAAATAGCACTCTCGCAAACGAAACCTATGTTGACCATTGCCATAATTCAACCAACTACCTCGATTTTTGGAAGGACACCGGTTTCACAACCCATGGTGCTGGTCATAGTGGAGTAAGTATACCGAGAGGAGACGTGTGAAATATCCGACTGATCGGCGTTGTAGATTGGCGGAGTCATGGAGGACATCGACGCAAGCCCCGGAGGTAAGTTTGTATCTTGTTCCCTAGTTGCTCTCCCGCCTCGATCGCAAGCTGACCAGCTTAGATCCGCTCTTTTATCTCCATCACGCTTTTGTAGATCGCCTTTGGTGGAACTGGCAGTCCGAAGACCCTGACAATCGTCTTTATCAACTGGGCGGCTCTTCTTCGCAGGGGCCGTGCGAAGAAGAATGTGAAGAGACGACTCTGGACTACGTAATGACCACCTACGAGATTCTTCCGAACGTTACTGTCAGGGATGTCATGGACATTCAGGGTGGATATCTCTGCTACAAATATGACTACTAAGAGGGGAGATAGGGGTTGGAACACTTTAGCTAATGTTTATTTGGTGTTTTTACATTGGCTAAATTAGTCGCGATACTGAGTACCCCGTATCTCTTAGGCATAGCTGATAGTAACAATTCAAAGTTGGTTCAACCGGAGATACCGCACCATCGGAGATTTTGGGAGACTACGATGTCTTTGAGATATCACCACTGGTGCTTTTGCTAGACCAAACTATGACTTTGCGCTACTGTAGAATATTTCTGATTAGATTTTGTGGTACCGTGGATCAAAACAATGACCTTATTCGAAGGCCATTCGCTTACGGTCTGATCTACTCTCAGTGTTTGAATGAGAGTCTGATGCTATATACCGAGAGAGCTGTCAAGAAGAAATAGCCTTGGTGGGAATTTGGCTTATTCTTACTGCATCGAGAATGAAGCCCCGGAGAATTAAGGAAGGGAACCGTTACAAACTGAGGTTTCCTAATGGCTTACCACGTGGGACAGACAACCTAAAGCAGTTCGGGAATTTTCTCCGCATGCTTCGACTACTAGCTCAGAGCACAAGAATAAGTTCTTCATGGCCTGCACTAGAAGACCAGAGAGGCAAATGGTTACCAAAGTATCTCGGTCAAGTAAGCTTTGCAATACTTTAGGCTTAATTCGAGTGATTGCGAATTAGTGTTAACGTAGTTTATAAGCGAGTGAGCCATACAAGCGAGTGAGCCACCCCACCAACTTTGCGCACATCTATAAGCGTATAGCTCCACCACATTATGTTAGTTTTGATAGATATTAACGTAATAGATTAATTACTATCTATAATATCTTTCTTGCATGTACGTGTGTTATGGCCAGTCTCTCTACACCTGCTACAGCGCGCTAGAGCCTGGCGGCTGACACCTGATCGCT